TTCGTCAACTACAAATCGCCTGGATCATAAGCTTCGTCAACTGGTCCTAGAACAACGGCTGTGTTGAAGTCGTTAGTATCGAAAAGTTCGGCTTCTAGGCTAAGCAATTGCATTTATGTCTAGAAAATTCAGTTTCAAGTTTCAACCAATCCGCACAAACTCTCATGGGGCCTCATTCTAACTATCTGATGGCATATTACAAAAGCTATGCATAAATATCATTTAGGCTTATCTTATCCGGAGCTATTACGAGTAAATCGTCAATTAGTGAACCCATTCGTTACAACTTTCGCTTCTTTGTCGCAGCTAACAAACAAAAAACTACAGACTTCGCAAGTTCCCGCTATTTCTGGACCGATTTATCTCACGTAACAGTGGGAGGTCCATCGTACGAAGTGTGAGAGGTTCTAACTTTTAAGAAAGCTTTTACCCGCACAGTAGGCTGTAGCCGTCTCCCTCGTGACGGGACTCTCCAATAGAGAGTAAGAGAAGTAACCTTTTCGACGATTAAACGATATTTCAAAACTCAGTACTCTCACTGAAAATCATAAAAAGCTTCATAAGATTGTTGCGAAATTATGACGTCATCCGCCTTGAATAGCGTGATACGATACGCAACCATCGGGATAATTCATGAAAATTACTACACAATGAGTAACCTACAAACCGCATATTGTAACACCTGAAACGATATCTTTCTGTTTGTGATTGCCGTAACTCATAAAAATTTAATTTTCGCCCTGCGGGCCCACTCAATCGTCCCTCAACTGCATACAAATAAAATACTGATTAATTTAATTTTCCACCACATGCTACCAACTAAATACATCAACAGCTTTGACAAATGTCAGCTGTGAATAATAAACTTAAATTAAAGGAAACGGGCGTATTTCATATATATGCAAAAAATAATCGTGCTCAAATCAATATTAGGTATCAATTTTTATATATTAAACGGATAAAGTTATATTTTGGCTACAAGGAAACTTTCTCCAATATTATTACGGTTGCGAGTATGTTATTCTTTTCACCCCCGGGGCAGTAAACTAAATTTCTCACGTATTTTATGCGAAAGTATCGTAATCCTGTATTATGGGTTGAAAACGCCAAAAAATGATAAATCAAATTTCTCAATTTAATAAGAAAGTGATATATTTTACACATGGCCAAACTTGAAAATGTTTTTCCTAAAAACGATGTACTGCAAAACCTAATGAATGAAGCATGTTTTGCTAAAACTACCGATATTCGAAAGCACACATCCACACCGAAAAATAATTTGAGGTCAGATATAAAAGGAGAAAAACTCAAGAATCGATTGTTTCTTTAGCTGCCACGAAACGAGAAAAAAAAATTAAAAAAAAAATACATGCATAATTATACTCTTCTTTACGGGATTAAGTCTTTAACCAAAACATCTGAATAACAATAGCTTCGAAATTGAGAAAACACATTTTGCGAAACATGCAAGCCATGCTGAAGCCAGGAAGATGTGTAAGAAAGATTATTTCGGCTCATGGCGAATTTGTCTCAACACGACGTGGAAGCGGGAGACACTAATGCGAAAACAACAGTGCCGGTAGCAATTAGAATTGTACTAAAGTAGTAACTCAGACTGCCGTCACATCACCCCAAACCATACAACAACAACCTGGTTCAGTCCAAACCCCTGCATATCCTCCGATACTATATTGACAGTGACATCTCAATTTGCTGACGTACAGCCTAACCATTCTGAAACAAGTTCATTGATGTCCTATCTGAAAGAAAAGTTTAAAACGTGCTTCCCGTCGACATCAATAGCCCACACCTCTCGAAACTGGGCCTCGTGGGCGACGCCGTAACTAAAATAAACAAACGCCTTTGTGCAGTGATATAAAGAAGGTCGCGATGTGACAACGACTATTTACATTATTACTAACACGACGAAGTATCTCCAATGCAAGAGGGCGACGAGATCGCTATCGCCACCGAATTAATAAGGAAACAGCGAGGTGAAGCCAGATCGCATTATAAATGCCTGATCTAACGGCGTTCAACTCCAGCCTAAAATATCTCAATGGACAGATAACGAACGTCAACGTTCCTGACCAAAGTGCTCCGTGTGACTTAATCGACGTATATGTACAGTTACACATGGCGCAGACCAGACTAGTAAATCGTCAAATATGAAAGTGTATGTTTGTGTGAGTTTCGAGGTACTGCAGAAAATATGAGACCTATGTTGTGTACATTTTTCGGATATTTATGCTTTTCGCATTTCTTATTTATTTACTGATGTTCATATTGTGAATCGAATCGCATCACTCTGGGCACACATGGTCTTTAAAATAAATTCGACGAAGTTATCGTGTGCAACCTCATTTTATCTTGACATAAACGAGATAACTATTAATGAGACGACATCATAATTATAAATATTTCAAAACGACGGTATCCAATATTTTTCCGAAGCCTGGCTTTTGTATATTTGGCAATGAAAATCCAAATTTATTTGATTAAAAACGTTAAAAACAAAAGCAAAGCATATTATGAGGCTATGTTAGCTGCTTTCTGTTGGTTCAAGCATTTTGAATCATAACCCATGAAATATGAAACCGAGAGCAGGGTCTTTTGTAATTTGGATGCATCGAATTGCAGCTATCAGAAATTCGCTTTTGATTACTTTGAAGAGATCGAATAAGCTCAATCATGAACGATTAAAAATCTTTATATTTATGCACAATTCATTAGTGGCTTAAGATAATTCAAACGCGAATAGAATATATCCCAGGGAACTTGTTTATGAACAGCTGCAATCAGGAGCATAAATATTCCGACAGTCGCGACGCCGATGTTATGCACGCGCCTTGGCAGACTCGATGTTATGACTGGGCTTAAAATTAGCATCATATTATTGGGATTGTAAAGTTTGGACCGTCTATCCCAGGGGTCGGGAACCTTTTTGGTCAAGGGAGCCATAAAATATACTTATTTTCAATTGCATTTCCGTGCGAGCCATATAAGATTTATTCTCTTAATCAGGCCTGAAATGCTTACTCAAAAGTCAACACATACAATACCAATATACTCTCTAATTTGACTTCTGATGCTGCATGTTGTCGCTGCGGGCCTTCAACGGTTGCTCACATGCAGCCTGTGATGTCACAAAAATGTTCCAGAATCCCCTTGTTTTGTCACAATGCCTGTCTGGTAATTCTCTTACATAACTTAGGCATACGCTGAGCGCGCGTTCTCAAACGCATTGAAAATTTTCTGCCAAATTAGGCTATAAAAGAGTTTGAAATCGCGTAACAATAGTAAGCTTAGTCTTAGAATAATAGTTTTTTCTGAGAGCCTTATGCCGTCACCAAAAGAGCCATATATGGCTCGCGAGCCATAGGTTCCCGACCCCTGGTCTATCCTATACAATTGATGCGAGTTGCAGTCAGCGCTATACATGGGAAACATAGCAAAGATAGTGAATTCCATAAGAAAGAAGCCGTAAGAGGAAGAAGTTCAACCTCGAAGAACCGTTGTGCAATTGATTATATCTATACTGTATTTGATTATATATATATTTGCTATCATAAAATATGCCAATAAAAATTTTAACCTAACTATCAGTTGCGGTTACGAAAAAGTAACTACATTTCCATGCTCTTGTCTGAACCTTAGAACAAGGGGATCCGCATCCATGTCGCGCAGGTGCTGTAGCAAGAATATAGATGACTATTCTATTTAATTCAAGAGTCTTGCTGCACACACCTGAAAATCTTCAGCAGAAGATTCGGGAGCATACACTCATTATAGGATTGTATTATACTTCTGTATTTTTATAATATTTAACCTATAAACATACTTTCCAATTTGTATGTCAAGTTGCGGAACTCAGGTAAACCCATTGCCAATTTTTTAATACACTCCTTTGTCTATCCGTAAGCTCTTCATACCCCTTACCACTCATCAAAACCAGTTTTCATTCAATCTTTACAACAGACAAACATAATTACGAAGTATATATAAAACAATACTTTCAGTGTGAAGGGGGACGCGATAAACCAGTGAAAGTTATCGAGCAGCGTCACCCTGTGCACTCGTTTCATATATATTCGGTATTTAAATGACAAGCATGTGATTTATTATTCCACATACTTTTGTATAGATTGGTACGTGCAATGATCGGTTCATTTAGAGTAGTGATTAGTGCAAATACATAGGGAATACATGAATAAAAAAAGATGTGTAATTGTTTTATTCAACAAGATTGTTGAAAACTGAATCTCTAGCACCTCCACGTGGAAAAGTCATGGAATGACATTGAAAGTTAGTGAAATTTTTCTGGAAGCACATGGTGTTTCATTATGTGAAAACGGTGAAAATTCCACAACTAAAAAGAGCTAGACTTGGCCATAAGAAAACTTGCTTGGCTGGGTGCTTATCTCCCTCATGCTATTGGCCACCTCGACAAAATCTAAAACTGTTCACGTTCCGAGCATACATATTATACAGTAGTCGGTATTATCCTAAAGTTTCGAAACCACGCGATAGAAAATTCGGTATACCGAAATATCGGTAAGTACGGCAACAATTCTTTATTTCGTTTTGAAGTATTATCATGATCATTTCACACATTTTGAAGATTTCAAGTTTAAAGACCTCTGCAAATATTACTGGGAACGCTGTGGATTTTGTACGTGAAAAACCCTATTAAATCTACAGCATGTGTTAGTGAAAAGGAAAGAGGTGTTTAATTAAGTAAAAATCGCGTTATCAAAGTGTGCATTATATACGTACTATATCACTTTAAAACACACTTGTTGAAACACCGTATATTTTTCTTGCTATAACACAATATTTCACGTTCTTTACGTGTGTATAAATTACGTACTATTCCGCGTTGAATCGGCAATTTTTTATCCTACAGTGCATGTCGATATCCTTGAATTAATATATATTGGTCAAACAAATATTAGCTTCTACCTTAAATGTGGTAAACAAAATATAGACTCTGGCTACATTTATTTTTTCATAAAAATGGAAAACAATGAAAAGGTTATCTTCACAGCAACATCCTCATTTTTTATATTTGGAATTTCCCAATACTTCTTCAACTTTCGGAATAATGTATCATAGGCATTCACCGGGAAACTTTCAGAAAATTTCTGAAATATTGGCACAACCATACAGTCTTCTTTAAACTTTTTAAAGTTAGTGCGAATCTCAAATTTCAATTTGTCATCTCGCCATTTCTGCAATTTTGTGTCGATTCCGTTGTATAAAGCTTGAAAGCGATCACAAACGTGTTGTTCCGGGTGATTCATTTTTTTCACGTAATCAGTTAGCGGTTGAAAGTAAAAGTCCTGGAAAACACCATATCCTGATTTTAAATCTATATCGCCGTTTTCTAATTCAATATCTGATATCACAAAGCCGTATGCAGCAACCATGCCTTTGGGCTTTAGCACCCTTTCGCATTCATCTACAAATTTTGAGACATCCATGAAATGCAAAGAAAAACAACTTGTGACCAAATCGACGCTTTTGTCGTCACAGGGAAAAGCATCGGAGTTGCCAACGACGTAAGCCACGTTTTCTTCCAATTCCATCTCCTGGGCTAGTTTTATTTGCTCAGAACTGACGTCAAATCCTAAGATTGAATTAAAATTAGGCGAAAAAGCTCTGGTCGACCTTCCACTACCGCATCCAACGTCAAGCATAAATTGAAACTTTACACTCTCATCGGATGTTTCGCCGTAGCATTTTGTTAACTCGTATATAATTTTTGTAGTTATCGCAGTATCCAACGGTGATTTCTTGGAGAATTTCATAGCGGAGTCTCTGCTGCTATATTCATTCATAGTATTTTTGTGAATAACAAAATTTGGATGCTGTACATACACGTAACTTTATATTTTGTAATCTGGTTAAATATATCAGTAGATTACAAGCCTGAGAAGTCATAAAAGTAATTTAAAGCACTGAAAATTGGATTTTTCAAATTACTATCCCTTTTCAATTCCAATTAGGGTCAACTATAAACAGTATCTGCAGTATTTTTGTGGGGGAAAGTCATCACATTTGTACAAAACAACATATTGCGTTCCTCGTCTCAAAGGTATGCTTCTTCGCCCGAATAGATTAAGAAGGACAATCGGAAAGTTGTTTTATCAGTTTCCCATACATTTTTTTAAACAAAGTAATAAGTTCTATTTATAGCCTTATTTCGACGATAAATGCAAAACAACACCACCAACTTTAATTAATTTATAAACAGACTTCACATATTCTTTTTGATCGCAATTGTACGCCACACTATACATTTTCTGTCGCACTAAATCTCAAAAATCTGGCATATATTACCTATTTGTAAATATATTGTCCTGGCTCATTGAAACTGGTCGCCGACCAAAAGTCGCGATAACGGTTAGTTATAAAATGCGAAGATCGACGCGAATTACCAATACAGATCCGTAACACAAGAGCAATAAATCAAATAATCGATCAAGCGGATATGTCTCTGTAGAGTTGACAAACGCTTAGTTCGTGTTACGATCACGATAATCCATCCTACACGTGAGTTAATGTTTCGCAGAAATATGTATTACATCAGTAACAACGATGTCTCCTTGTCCCAAATATATATCGTTCGAATGGATAAAAAAATCAATACGATAGAATGAATGAATTCGTCCACATTTGAAAAACTCTACCTATCTAACCCTAAATAAAACTTTAAAGTAATTATGCAGTTTTAACGTAATGACGCCTTTATATTTTGATAGAGTCAAGACAATATCGATATTAATACTAATTTATCTTGGCAACAACGAATCTAATAATTAATATATTTCTTACTTTCTGATCCTTTTCATATCGTAGACCCGTTTATTTTCAAAATATGTAAAAATAATGAAGAAATGCCATGAAGTTTTATCACAATTTACTCGGGTGATTGGTGTGGGTATCTCACCGGTAGTAAAAGGTTTGGATTTCGCGCAATTTAAAAATTTATTAATGACGTCATATAACATATTTGCATAACCGTGAAATGTCTATTATGAAGACATAATAGATTATTGTGACCTCACGAATGACATAGCCAAATGCTTTTAATTATCTAAATTCGACCCTGCTAGTTGAACAAGAGGTTACACATATTGCAATTTTTACGCCATTACTGACTGATTGGTCATTGTTACGAAAATAAACAAAGAAATTGATTATCGGTGAAATATCCACACTGAAACTTACTTCATAGGAAAGAATGCCCCTCTCTGCGTGTTATTACCCCGTGTTCCCAACTGACTCCGAGAGGTCGATTAGCACACAGTATATTGTAATGCCAAAGGTTTGTATATATATATATATATATATTGTAAAGTTGCACGATCGAATTGAATCCAAACAAATATAAGGAAATATACACTTAAACTTTAATACCAGTTATACGGTTGAAATCCAAATCAGTATTTCTGCGAAAACATGAAAAACACTATATTCTTAACTCTCAAACGAAGGCCAAAAACACGTCACAACTTCCTCGATACGAAGAACGGTCGATAACAAAGAAGGAATTCTGAGACTAAATTGTTGCTTGTGGTGATAAATCATAATCAGGGGAAATAGGTCACTGACCTATTTATTGAATTCACATACTATTAAATCAAAGTGGTTAAATAACATCAAAATCCATAGTTATCAAAGTTTCAAGTGCTTAGTGACCCATGAAAGTCATGATCCAACCCTGCCTGTATCGCTTACTTTTCTTATGGATATTGAACAACCAATCAGATAAAAATTTAATATTATTTAAAGTGCATTAAATATGCAAGTAATGGCAAATATTGTAAATAACCAGATGAAAAAAACATCGACTATCTTAAATATACACCTATTATGGGAATGGTATAATCCTGACATGGGCAAACTATGGGGGCGAATGTACGTGGGCTCAAAGATAATGGGATCACAGATTTCATTCTGTTTTAAAATATTTTCATGATCATTCCACACTTCTTGAATATTTTAAGTGTAAAGAACTCTGTGTATATTACTGGGAACGCTGGGGATTTTGCACGTGAAAGACTCTATTAAATCTACAGCATATGCTAGTGAAAAGGGGGAAGGTGATTGAGTGAAAAAGGCGTGATCAAAGTGTGCATTATATACGTACTATATCACTTTATAATATACATTTGTTTAAACACCGTATAGGCCGCGAGACGAGGCCGTATATTTTTCAGTTTCGTCGCGCACATACGGGAACTACCTGAAATTAATTTTGAAAATTTCCTTAGGCATTTAGTAACAAATATTACGTTGTACCCAATTCCAAAAGTGTCACGTTTTACAAAAAAGACGCTACACTACAAGAAATATCTGTCCTATATTCTCTACTTTTCCGGCAACAGTGGCCAATGAACGCAGACTTCTGCATGAAGTAATAATTAAAATTTGGTCAGCTGTCGGCGGTCGGATGGGTCTCAGATCTACTACTCGCTTTTGCGACGAGTTGGGTAGCCTTTCCATCGTCTTTTTTAGTTATCACTAGTCAAGTTATTCTAAGACGGTGTTACAAAGTATAAGTAAGCTATTGTGACGACCCTTGTTTCATCTGTTAAATGATGTCATATTTGGTATTTTGGCATTGAAGACAATGGGGGGAGTTTTGACACTGTTGGTTCTGTTCCTTTGGGTGGCTGTTGGCGTGTGCTGTGGTGTGGTGTAGTTGGTGCCGGTACAGTGTGGTTGGTTTTCGGTTTGATTCTGGTCGTGGGTGTCTGTGGGAGTGCCTCTGGTCTCCGGTGGGTTGTCGGGGATGTTTGTTTGTGGTTTTGTGGCTGCAGGATGGGGATTTGTTGAATGTTTTTGTGCTAGACAGTAGGCTGATTTTATTGTTTCAGTACAGTGCCATTGCAGTTATTTTAGCGTTGTATTTTTGGTTGTTGTCAGGGAATTACCTATCATCGGTACTGTTCAAAGTGTTTTTATTGTGTATATTCTGTTTTCTTGCATTGTGCTGCCTGGTACTTGTCGCTTTATTGTGTGCTTTCCGTTTCATTGAAGTGTTTGGTTGTATTAACCGTTTCATTGGAGGATAATAAATAAATAGAACAAAATAGCATAAATTGAAGTGAATATTGAGAGGAAACTTGACGTCAGACCATATTGGAAGATATTCTGAACTTGGATAATTATGTCATCTTGTTAGGCTATACTATAATTTAGTCTAAACGTGCCACAAAATAAATTCTGTCACGTAAAGAAAATAATCGCAAAAACAGCTGTTTTGTCACTATAATTCAGAGAAACGTCGCGGGCCTGATTATATTGCTCCGCTGGCCGTAGGACGCAGACCCTGCAGTAAAGCAAAGAATTATGAGGGAAATGCCCCGATACGAATACTACATTAGCACCCGAAATTTTGCAATTTGCAACATGTCTAAAAAAGCGTTTTTAAAAAACTTATGGTGTTTTCAGTTTTATTTTCAGTATTTTGTATTGCCGCTTTTCAATTTAAAAAATTTAGGTTGCCACCATTGACACCTACCAGAAATTATTCTTCGAACAACAACGACTAAATCCAATCCTTTGATTAAACCACGCGCAAGTGACCTGTCGCGTCACTTGTTACCAAATTTTCAAATAATAAATTGCTATTCTAATAATTGAATATATGCCAAGCCCTACTCATTAAGTATCCAGAAATTATTGACTCGTTTCATTTATATGAATAAACTTGCTTTTTATGTTTTATGTAAATTCTAACGTAAATCGTGGCTGATGGTTAAGTTTCGCAAAAGCGTTTGCGACCCGCAGTGAATTTTTGGCTCGTTGCGGACTCATTCAAACGCTCCGCGGACTCATTTGAGACCGCGGACTCGGGTTGGGAAACACTGGTGCCATGCCAGCGTTTATCTTACATACGAGCTAGTTAGCAAGCTAAGTGGCCTAGGCAGCAACGTGTGTCAGTTGAACTACCTAAAGCAGTTTTATGTAATTTGCAGTGCAGAATTTAAATTTGGACTTTGGGAGGGAAAATTAGTTAAATTAAGTATTCTCATGTCTAGAAAGACAGACTATCAGAAAAATTTTCGTTTGATTCGCAGTTTATAGGTTTGTACTGGTAGCCTATCATGACAGGCAAAAAGTGTAGTGATTGCCAGCGTTTAACTAACATACGAGATAGTTAGCAAGCTGAGGTTATTACCAATCCTATTTTATAACGACAATCATAATTTAGTAATCAATCTTTCTGCAGTTTTGTAAGCATGAGTTTAAAGAGAAAGCTGCCCAATTCAAACAGATATTTTAATTTGATATGGAAGGAAAAGTACTTGTTTGTGGAAAACAAGAATGGGCCACAGTGCTTGGTATGTCTGCAAATTGTGTCGATGCCAAAAGAATATAATTTAAAACGGCATTACGAAACACGCCATAAAAATCAGTATGAAAAAATATGAGGGAGCTGCAAGGGAAGCCATTGTTATAAACTTGAAAAGTAAATATAAGAAGCAAATGATTTGCATGACTAACTTCACTAAAACTACTTTTTCTGACCAGAAGGCATCTTACGAAGTTTCTCTGATACTAGCAAAAAATGGAAAAGCGTTCAGAGATGGAGAAATTGTAAATGAGTGCTCAATAAAGATGGCCCTTGCGTTTGACGAAAATAAAATGGCAAAACAATTTGAAACTGTGCTTCTCTCACATCAAACCGTTGCAAGAAGGGTAATGAAGATAAGTGAACATATGTCTGCAAAAGTTGAAGGCATTGTTCGGCAATGTAAATATTATTCGCTGGTTTTGGACGAAAGCACCGATGTTTGTGATGTTAATCAGCTTCTAATTTTTATTCGAACTATCGATGAACATTTTACAATTTACGAGGAATTCCTTCAGGCAGTTCCACTTCATGGCGCAGCAAAAGGTTCAGACATATATATAACAGTCTCGTATCTGTCGCCAAAGCACATGGTGGCTTTGAAAAGTGCTCTAGTGTTGTAACCGATGGCGCTCCGGCAATGGTCGGGAAAAATACTGGACTGGTCGGCCTGTTGAAAAATGATGGAGTGAATTGCCCAACATTCCACTGTATTATCCACTAAGAAGTATTATGCACGAAGGTCTTGCAAATGAGTGACATCCTGAGTAGCGTAATGACAATAGTGAACATCATCAGAGGTGGGACTAAAGCTCGAAGGCATAGAAAATTTGGCCAGTTTCTCACTGATTTGGATGCGAAATATGAAATGTGCCACTGACCCACTGTATTCAAAAATTAGATGGTTGAGTGCAGAAAACACTTTGCAGCATTTCTTTTCTTTGCGGAATAAAATCTTATTTTTTCTGCAAAATGAAGTTAAAGGAATGGAAAAGTATGAAATCCTTTTAAGCAACGAAAAGTTTATCGCTTCCTTGGCCTTTATTACAGATTTTACAGGTCAACTGAATATTTTGAACAAAAAGCTTCAACAAAAAGGTCAAAACATATGTCAACTTTTTGGGCATATTGAAGCTTTTCGTATGAAGCTGAAAATACTTTCGGCTGACTTACAAAAGAATATTGTTACCCACTTTCCATTCTGTCAAGAATTATTTGAAGAGAATAAAACGCTAGAGTTTTCGGAATTTACACATAGGCCTATGCTTCATAACGTGAGCAGTGAATTCGATGAAAGAACAAATTAAAATCTTCGTTAACCCCATGGAAGTTAAAATCGAAACTCAGGAAACTGAATTCCAGTTGGAATTATGGGATTTACAATCAGATACCTTTATTCAATCAAAAAAGAATGAGAGAAATGAAGCATTTTGGACGTTTGTGAGCATTGAGCACTTTCCAAAGTTGAGGGATTTTGCTTTGAGAATGTTATCGATGTTCGGGAGTACCTACATTTGCGAAAGCGCGTTCTCCGTTATGAAGAGACTAAAATCTAATGAAAGAAACAGATTGGGAGACGAATGCTTGGATGCCTGTTTGCGACTGTCAACGACTGACGTAAACGTTGATTTAGAAAGCTTGATCAATGATAAATAGTCAGCAAATTCGTTTGTACAATGAAAAAAATCGTTATATTGTGCCGTTTACTTCACATTTGGTAATCAATCAATCTGCAGTTTAAATTATTTTGCAAATATGAGTTTGAGAAAAAACCAGATCAATTCAGACAGATTTTCAACTGGGTATATGGGTGCGAAAATACCACGAAGTTTGTTGATATGTCTGCAAGTTGTGTCGGTGACAAATGAATATAATCTGAAACGGCATTTTGGAATTTTCTAAGGAATGGGTATTGGGAATCGATGTTCCCAAGCATTTATATTTGCGGAAGTACTTGCTACGCCGCTACGGTATCAATAGTTTGAAATCCTACTCAAGATGTAGATGAATGACAAATAAGAACCACTGCATTTGCGCAATAAACTGTTGGTTATACATTTCACTGATTATCTATTCTTGCCACTATTGTGACCCGCGAACAATACAAAAAAAAATTTGTGGCCCGCGAAGCTGACAACCTTGAACCACCCTGAAATAGGCTATTCCTATTGAAATACATGACATTCTTCTGCACCTGATGAGAATGAGAATTTCGGAAGCAATTCAAAGGAGAGTCGATTAGATATTGAAGTTAATTTAATAAATATTATTTATCAGTTTTTTTCTCAGACATCTGCTAGTGTCGAAAGTCCTGTTTCCATAAATAATTTTGCCTTTGTTTGAAAAAGAACTAATTGTAATATTTCTGCTCACTATGTTATGTACAGCCTGTTACAGACAAAGTTTCTTTGTTTTATTTCATATATATTTGACCAGGGGTTATCTCGAGATATGTCGGTCATTGCACTTTGTCGAATGACCGTTCACGAAATTACTCCCTTCAAGGCGATTTCGCCATTTGCTCGTGGGCAGGAATGAGCATGTCGGCGTAAACAAAGTCTGTTATCGGCCTTCTCTTTTTCTCTCGTTTTTGTTTGTTCATTATTTCGAATAATTGCCAGTCGGCTGTTTACAATTTATTTCGTTTTAAGAGTTAGCTGTTTAAGTAGTGCTAATTTATTTTCCGCAATGAGCGGATTTGTTTGCTTGTTTCTCAGTTGAATAATAGGGTCCGATTCATTTTGCATATCTTGTATTTTAATGTTGCTATTTTTTGGATCGTTTAGAATTAAGTATGTTACTAATCTGCCTGTTGGGTTGGTCGTAAACTTTAGCAACCCTCAATATTGTTGTAATCAATTGATTATTGGACTTCAACATTGCTATATCAATTTATTCGGACTTCTACATTCTACAATACTGGAATCATTTGTTTTTTTATCACCACACAATTTCGTATTTCACGTGACTGCAATAGATTTCAATCATATTCAAGTTGTGGAGTTGTTAACATCGAGAAACCAGGCAGGTTATACATAAAAGGAAGTTAATAGCGCGAAGTGTCACCGCCCAACACGTTATAGGCTTCTTGTAGAGCCTCGTCATAAGTACTAAGTCGCTTATAATCTACACAGCCTCTATTCATTTAATTTTCTTGATTTTCCCATGTAAATTTCTCAGTGAGAAATAACCGTTTTACGCTGTGTCGTTGTAAACTTATGGTTATTGATTTTCGGGAATCCCCTTATATTCCATTTTTGCATCAGGATATTAACCGATTTACTTGTGCTTTTGTGCTCACGATGTTAATTTGTGACTTCATCGCATAAAAATTGATGCATTTGATAGCTTCTATAAAATGAATGCGACTTTTTATGCTGTGTCGTTGTAAACATGTGTTTATTTATTTTTGAGGATTCCCATTATATCTAATTTTGCATCAGGATTTTTGAAGCATGTTTTATAGAAAATGTGCAATTTTCGTTAGTGGAACAAGCTGTAATGTGTTCAGTATGTTCATTTTCATACAAAACTAAAGAATTTATTTCGTTACCACATGTGCGCTTCAAAACCTATTTTCTGGGCCTCGTCCCATGGCCTAGTATATTTTACTTGCTTTACCACAATTACGTTCTCTGCATGTGTTTAAATTACGTACTAGAATTTGCAATTTTATGCTATAGTACATGACGATATCCTTGAATTAATATATATTGGTCAAACAAATATTAGCTTTTACCTTGAATGTGGTGACAAAATATAGACTCTGGCTATATTTATTTTTTCATAAAGATGGAAAACAATGAAAAGGTTATCTTCACAGTAACATCCACGTCTTTCGTATTTGGAATTTCCCAGTACTTCTTCAACTTTTGAAATAATGTATCATAGGCATTCACCGGGAAACTTTCAGAAAATTCCTGAAATATTGGCACAACCATACAGTCTTCTTTAAACTCTTTGAAGTTCCACTTCAAATTCCACTTTGTCATCTCGCCATTTTTGCAATTTTGTTTCCATTCCGTCGTAAAAAGCTTGAAATCGATCACAAACGTGTTGTACCGGATGATTTAATTTTATAGTGTAATCAGTTAGCGGTTGAATATAAAATTCCTTCAGAACAGCGTATCCTGATTTTGAATCTATATCGCCATTTTCCAATTTCATATTTGATATCATAAAGCCGTAGGCAGCAACCATGCCTTTGGGCTTTAGCACCCTTTCGCATTCGTCTACAAATTTTGATACATCCATGAACTGCAAAGAAAAACAGCCTAAAATTGAATTAAAATTAGGCGAAAAAGCTCTGGACGATCTTCCACTGCCGCATCCAGCGCCGAGCATAAATTGGAACTTTACATTTTCATCAGATGTCTCGTCGTAGCATTTTGTTAACTCATATATAATTTTCGTAGTTATCGCAGTATCCAATGGTGATTTCTTGGAGTATTTTATTATCTGTTCTGCATCTCTGCTGCTAAATTCATTCATAGTACTTTAGTTTATACTTTAGTTTATAACAAAAATTGGATGCCGTATATACGTAATTTTATATTTTGTAATCTGGTTAAATATATTAGTAGATTACAAGTTTAAAAAGTCATCAAAGTAATTTAAAACACTGAAAATCAGATTTTTCAATTCCCCTCCTTGCTATTTCTGGACCGTTTATCTTACGCAACAGTGGGAGGTCTGTCGTACGAGGTGCTGGAAGTTCGAACTTTTAAGAAAGCTTTTACCCGCGCAGTAGGCTGTTGTGGCCTTCTCCGTCGCGACGGGACTCTCAAATATAGCGAGTAAGGGAAGAAATCGTTTCGGCGAATAAACGATATTTCAAAACTCAACACTCCCATTGGAAATCATAAAAGGTACCAATAAGATTGTCGCGGTATTATGACGTTATTCGCCGAAAATCACGTGATACGATACGTAATGGAATGAATTCCTTTTACTACAAGAGAGTTACGCCCAAATATATGGACACGTCTGTTCGCAGTACAGTACGGTTTACCGTACCCAGGTACCGTCAGATCACAGTCTACAAATATATTCACACAAAGCGAAGCAGTACAGTCGGACACAAAATGGTCATAGCAAACGAATACAAATCTCACAGAGCTAACAGAAATATTTGAAATAAATAAAAGTAATAGTCTTCTGGAGAAATTTTTTATCTGTAAACACTGAAAATTCAGAGCAATTGGTCCAGTAATCAGAGAGAAAAGCAACTTTTCAGATTTTCCACTAGTTATCCAAAAAGTGTCAAAGAACAACAACAACATAATATTGAAACGATCGCTATGTCCACTACGTGTCCAATAAACTCAACTACTAGTAATGCAATTATCATAATGAGGATAAAGAAATCGGCTTTCCTCTTCCCCGGGATAAATATATAAATCCAAAAATTTTACGTGTAGACTGTAGATTGTGTAGAAGGTAATTAAAATGTAAAATACTGCTTCTCTTCTGAGAACGCAAGTATAAACCTTGGGTCGTACTGATGTATGTACGATACCTTACTTCGGTACTAGGCCCATGGACCTATTCCCGAGCATCGACTAACTTGTTTACTCTATGACATTGGCCAATCAGCAAGATGCAAAAGTGACGTAACAAGGCTCCCCTTTCGCATCCGCCCAGACACTTTTCTCACTCAGACAGATTTTCAGGCGTGGTCGTAAACATTACCTCGTTTTTGCGTTTTTGAACTCTATTCGTTAGTTTTCAGTTGTGTTTCGAAAATTTAAATATAAATCAGATAATTCAATGATCACCCTAACTTCTTAGGAGTTTTAATTTGATTGCAGTAATAAAAATTGTGTAGAAATAGCTGTGATAGACTAGGCTAAATAAAATTACCGGTACTTTTGAAAAACAGATTGTTATATGCGATGAATCATAATGATGGTTTGAACAAATACCCCATTTTACAGGCGCCAACTCGCGAAACCACTCCTAAAATAAACCCCAAAAATTTTGCAATGGTAAAAGAAGGGAATAATTTTTCGGGGGTCAAAGGTCCATAAGGGTACCGGTAGTGCAGTCACTGCTAAAACGAATGCGACAATGGGAGGTAAAGATCAGGTAGAATTAATGAAAGCGAGGGAGGAATTGAATGTGTTCGAGCACGTGCTATGTTATCATTTGTCGGTACCGGTACCGATTAATTTTGCCCCTAAGAAAACTGGATAACAGACCTATCGTCCTACCCCATCCGGCTCATCGCACAGCCACGGTACTCGACTTTTACTACGAGAGTACGATACAGTATCGGTACATGTTCTGCGGAAAGTAACAATATATAATAAATTATTGGACACAACAAAACTTACGTACCGGTACGTTAGTAAGTCGACCTAAAACTTTTGGAACACCGTTTGTGCGCGTAGGATGACAACGTTGGTCCCAAGTAGTAGCAAAATTTTTTAAAACAAAAACGCTTGACAACGATGGGCCGGCAGACCGGTCTTGATCATTCCGAATCCACCAAAGCGTTGATTCGCCTGTAAGCACTTCATCATTTTGACCAGTGGTCATGGCTGGGCACGTGCTTAGGGCACCACAGAAATTCCCATACCTAAATCTCCAATGGTGCCTCAGTGTTTAATAAAACATTCCAAATTGATTAGGCGATTCAGACCTCAATATTGGACATGTTGAAATAAATTTTTGCTTATTTTTCTTTCTCAAGTATAATCTTAAACCTCTCTATGAATGTTTGAAAGCGTTGAAGCTAATTCCAAAAATACCGAGTAAAATATTTACAGCTTGATCCTCAATTGATAATCAATGGACTTTTACTCGACCCTTGACCCCGGAAAAATTCCTATTATACTTTACTATTACGAAAATTTTGATGCTTATTTTGAGAAAGTTGACGCTTACAATCTGGTTTTGGTGTTTGAAGCTATTTGACCACGTGCCAATTGCGGGTACTGACTAAATCTGACAAATACCACGCGAAACCACTGAAACGAAGCAATAAGTGCAACGATGCCTTAGGGGCCTGTGCGGACATTCGATTTTAAAATATAAATCATTTTCAAATCGTTTTGAAACAATAAAGGCTTGTTCCATAATGAAACAGGTCTGATGTTTGTTCAAATTGTTAATCGGGTTATTAATTCTTGTCCTAAATATTTATCATTCGAATGGGGAAAATATTGAATACGATAAAATAAACGAATTTCTCTAAATTTGAAAAACTTTACTCCTCTAACCTTAAAACTACTTAGCGGGGCGGTTGGTGGAGTAAAACCCCAACTCACTCCTTCAGAGGTCAATAAGCACACAGTATAATAAAATGCCAAATGTTTGTGTGTAGTTTTGTTGCACGATCGAGCAGAATCCGAACAAATATATGGAAATATACACCTAAACCTTAATACCAGTTATAAGGTTGAAATCCAAATCAGTAATTCTGCAAAAACATGAAAAGCACTATATTCTCATCTCTCAAACGAAGGCCGAAACACGTCAAAAGTTGCTCGATACAAAGAACGGTCAACAAAGAAGCAATGCTATGACTTGGTTCCATTACATTTGAACCCACGTACATTTGAACCCACGACAATTGCACCTGTATACTGTTGCACCTATGGATTTTTTACGGATATTTGAATCCATACTAACCAATGAATTTTAGCAACCTCATATAGATTGAACCCGCGGATATACGGGTGCAAATGTATTGGTTCAAATGTACGTGGGTTCAAGATGTACGGTCACCCTATGACTTGTTGTGACAAATCACAATCAGAGGAAATAGGGCACTGATCAATTTATTGAATTTACATACTTTTAATTCAAAGGAATTAAATAATATTAAAATGCATATAGTTAACAAAGTTTCAAGAGCTTAGGACCCCCCAAAGTCATAGTTAGGCCTTGTCAGTGTCGCTTACTTTTCTTATGGATATTGAATAACCTATCAGATATAAATATATTATTATTTGAATTGCAATGAATAAGTAATTAACGGGGAATATTGGAAATTACTTAAAGAAAGAACATCGCTATCTCAAAATATACACGTAATATGGGAACAGTCTAATCCGTAATCCCGAAAATGCCTTAGGCATATTTGGCTAATTTTATTCGAAAAAACCGTAGTGACACAAGTTTATCTGAATTGCATTGCCAGGGTCAAATTACCCGTTGTTGAGCTGCAGTTGTCTATTTGCGATGGGGTGATGATGTCTTTCCTTTTTTTCTGGAACTAACGAATCCCTTAATTGTGTAATCCACACAAAAACTATTGCAGCCCTTTGAAAAATTACTGTGCTTTTCATATGAAACGATATATTTATTTAATATATTTATACATATTGTGTAAAAACTGTTTATTATTTTCTATAAGTAATTGTACAATTTGGTTTCCTTCATAACAAATGACCGCACACACGGCAGCTTGCAAGAGTAAAACTCTATAAAGCATGGATTTCGTCAGACATTGAGATTTTTGTCCAGGTTGGGTTATATTAAACAACACAAAACACATGATAAAAAAGCAAGCGTGAATGGAACTTGAATTTCAAATCGATTCGTCACCTAATCCCAATGGGTCATTTACGGATTAATTAGTTCAACTAAAAGAGTTGCCAATACAACATTTTTGTCTACATTGATTCTATAATAAAGAAGTATAGCATACTTGAAATGGAGGACAAAATTTTTGTAATAATTTTACAGAATTAAGACGTAACTCTTGATGATGACATCGAGTTTCTTGTTTCAAATCGACCAATCAAAGTGTATTCGCCCGAGTTTTGCGATAATTGAAGCCTTTCAGCTCTTACGGTATACGACGCAAATCATCTCGCGAGTTAACACGCAATTATTACGTTATTACGACATATAATTTATACGTTGAAACTATGCACGAAGCTCTAAAATGGATATAGAGTGCCACATCATAAAATACTCACATAGTGCGTTTCTTGTGACATTGTTCCACACCCCAAAAAAGGGGCTTTATCGGCGGTGCGCCGCCAGAGTAAAACACTGAAGTGGTACCCAGTCGGTAAAAGGTTGAGAGCAATACCATAGCCGTATGCGCTCAATAGTAATTATTTACTGGAGTACAGTTATACATATACATACGAAAGCGTTAAAATTTTTCTATGATAATATACTTATAGTCGTCTAGATATCAATATGCGATGTCCGGTGAGCAACGAAGACAGTCAAAGAGTTTGGAAAAAAATAATGATTATAAATATGTGAAAGTAAAAAAAGTGTTGCGCAATAATACGAACTTAACTTTCAGAGAGGTAGTTCACAGAAAAAGCTAGAAATGCGTCAATTTCGGCAAATATGAATTTCACAAATTTAACTTAGAAGTTTGCGTAAATTTAGTCCATAAGCCTTTTTATTTTTATATATCCTCCCTCGAGAAGATACAGCAAAGAATTCAGGGTAATTGTTTCAAAAATACGATGAACACAGAAAAAGTCAATTTGATTTTGACATCTGCATCGTTTTCTTCCTTCATCTTCCACAACTCTTTCAACTTTTTGCACAAAATATCAATCGGGCTTTCAGAAAAACTTTCATGGAACTTGCGAAAGATAGGAATGCACTGGAATTGAGACTTGAGGTCATTCAGAGTACACGCATTGTCAAATTCTACAATATCGTTTCTCCACTTTTCCATTCCAGTAATGCTATCATAAATTGACTGATATTTGTCAATGGCGTGCTTTTGCGGATGATTCAATTCGTGAACAAATTCAGTGAAAGGTTTCAGGTAGTATTCATTATAAATATCCATTCCAGACAGAGAAATATTCTCATTGCAATCGTCAAGTACAAGATCCAAAACCGCTAGACCATACGCAGCTACAATTCCATTGGGTTTCAACACCCTCTTGCATTCGGCAACAAATTTTTCTGTGTCCATGTAATGAATAGCAAAAGAGCTTGCAACCAAGTCTACGCTTTCGTTTTCACATGGAAAATTGTCTTCTGTTCCGGTCACATACGTTACGTTATCATTCTGTTCTGATTCTTGTGCCATTTGAATCTGTTCCAGACTTATATCAAATCCGACAACTGAATGGAAATACGGCGCGAAGATTCGCGTTGATCTTCCACTTCCACATCCAGCGTCTACCATCTTTTGAAATGGGATATTTTCTTCGACAGGCATATTGTAACTCTTTCGCAGCTCATGCATTATAGACTCCGGCACTGCTTCTGCCCATTCTCGTTTCTTAGCGTAACATGTAACAATATCTCGGTTATTATATTCGTTCATTTTGTATAAGTTATAACTTCGTTACCGGTAGCGGGTATCTGTAAACATAGTGCACCTTAAATATTTATATGAAATTTGTGACCTTTTGTAGACGGGCCCGCCGAAAAAAAAAACTCCCGCTACCGCTCAAAATTAAAATAGCAATTATACAGTTAATGTTGGGGTAGAGAATGTAGATTGCGCTGGAAATTCAAATTTTTAAATCATCCCTAAACCGAACTAACTGGATAATTACTAATTTTTTTTATTTCAAAACGCGGCGAGGGTGTTGCCCCAAATCTCACATTTTAGTGGATAGGGATTTCTATTAACGATCCGAAATTTGTACTAGCTTTGTACGACGGTAGTGAATTATGATGCAGATATTCTCACTATCATATAGAACACCACTTGATACGACGTCAAAGCACCCAACCTTCTCGGTTGCATCTGTTTCCTGAATAATATCAGTTTTTGCCATGCTACCGCGCTGAGAGTAATCAAAACTCCTTTCTGTATACCTACCTTGGTGATGTCGTTTTCAACTGCTGTGTAACGGTCTATTGATGGTTCCGAACCCGATTGATAAGTTAGTTACTACGTCAACGACCATTTAATTAAAGATTTGTTTTAAGAGCTATAACATTATCGTTTCGTAATTAGAGCGGCTGGATACTTGATGTTGGTATAATTAGAGATAATGTGGGTTACTAGGCATATTTTGCTATTATTTTCTTGGAAAAAACTACAACCATGAACGAGGATTTTGAAATTATGGGATGGATATTTTTCTTAGTAAAGACTACAAAATTTTAACAGCCCAAACGCAGAGTACTGGTAGGAATGTTTTGGCTTGTCACAGAAGATTGTACTTTGTTAGTCGACACATATTCCTGCCTGCCAATATTGTATTACATATTAAAAGCATGTTTACACTATTGCGAGAGTAGAATAATGCCGAACTTGCTTGTTGCTGCTCTCTACCCCCTATAGGGCCTATAGACTAGTCTACACTCTGTTGGATTATACGACAAGAAGATTAAAACATCAATTTATTTCTGGTTCTTTTACACTTGACTTGCTTTTAGGAAATCCTGTCACTGCCGGATCATCAACTAAATTTGCTTCGTTTTTGGTCTTCTTCAAACCTTCAACCCCAATGACTTGTATGACACTTATATCTGTTTACGACACACACAGCAATGAATTGGCGGGTAGGTATTTATGTGCGAAAAAAAACGTCTGACATCGGCTACTGTGGAGTGTAATAATCCACACTACAGGCATATTGCGTGAACGTCGAGCAACGGTATCAAAATATATCATCACTATTTCTCGCCTTTCCACGTTATACCGATATGACGTGTCTTTAGACACTGATCCGAGCTTTGGAAAAATTTCTGATCCGCATACGTAGAAAGAAAAAATAATCTACGTCCTCGGGCGATGCTTCAGTCCAGCAGTGGGGCTAATCTGTTTCAGAGCTCGGTATGTTTATACATAATAGTTTCGCTTGTGTCGCTTCGCTTCGGTTTCAATCAAAGCGAGACAAATATAATGAGGAGAGCGATATTTGTGTAATTACCAAACAGGTAACTTGAAATATGATATATATACATATATCGGTAATTCTTGAACGATCCGTGTATCTATTGTATGACAACGTCCAAATTGTTGCAAGGTAAGACCTAGTATGGGACGAAGAAAAAAGAAACATATCGGACCACTTCGAGAACACATGGAGATGAAACAAAATCGATTTGGAACATTCGCAATTAAATCCCATAAGAATTGAAATAAACAGAATACTACGCACAGCAGTGGTTCGAATCTAATAAAGGGGGTACAGACCTCCAAGTACGCCATTTTTACCACCGGAAATGCATTGGGTTTCGCAATCAAATATCATTTCTTCACTAATACGTCGTTATAAAAAATGAGAACTAAGTCATACGTTCCTGTATCTACGACACGGTCGGAACTATAGTGAACCTTTTAGCTCTTGCGTTACAACAAACTGCACTGCAAGTATACACACAAGTACATGAAATAAATACGCGAAGCAGCTAACACCTAATTAGGCATGTGGTTATGAAAAAGGAACAATTTATGTACGGCCGATATGTGTCCAGTAATAAACGGCACTCCATCCATTTTTCATTGACACATGTTTACCATATTTTTGCTTGACTTGGTGACTAATTGTGCGCATAATTTATATATTATATCCAGTCAATTAAAAGCTCATCAGCTTATTTAATAGCCCTCTGAATGATTCCCAATAGCATTGGAGTGGAAGCTCTCTCGAAGCTTTTATCGCTCACATTCTCCGAACAACAAATTGAATGGAATTTTCCCTATTGAGTGTATGTGTAAAGCGCATTCCTCTATAGATATATGTTCATTAAATCTTACTTTATATTTATCTATTAGAGAGAGTAAAACCATTAAAGCGTCTTAATCATATGACCCAGCACGATTCCTCGCCCTTTTGCCATTCCAGGTCAAATACGTAAATTGGTAACCAGTTATTCGTTTCTGTCGCATTCATAATCACGATTGTGACACATACCCCTTTCCCTGGCAAGAAGTTTATTGAGTTATGCAAATATTTCTATGTTAAAAATTCGTGAATTCACAGTGAAAGTAAATTAAAGCTCAATATGCTGTTATTCTTCATTCTTCTTCGTCGCTTCCCTCTGGGTCTTCAATACCAACAGCTCCGACTTTAGTGTCGGAACTTGTTCTTCTCATTTTATCCCGCCCTTCGGCTTTACTGTTAAAATAATAAATGGAATAAAAGCGGAGCCGATATAAACCATAAAGAGTGAAGGTTAAGTCAAAAGAGAGACATGCTCATATATGTAAACAATATGTAAACACGAAGGTTCAATTATTAACCGCAGTGCCGTCAGTCAATGCGACTCGCACGAAAATCTGACTGAGCGCCGAGTTCGCCAAACCAAAACGTCAAAAACAGTCGTGACATAGGTGGTCACGCTTGACGGAATAAAAAGCAGTGTTCCGATGAATGAAATGGAATAGCGAAAACTTGGGTAAAATAAGGGATCCCTAGAACTCAAAAGAAAAATTGAAAAGTAATCGATTTGTCCAATAAGTTGAGGAGAAGGGCGATTTTCCGTACGAAAAATTCGCCCCAACGAAGTTGTAATTCCACTTCGTGCCGAATAAATGTTTTTATTTTATCTTCGTTTTCGGTACGATCACTACAAAGTGGGTTTCAGTTATATCTGTGTACATTGCTACCAGACTGTGTACTAAGAAATTGAAGATAAAACCTTTCATATAGATTAAAATAGCTCGGCACCGAGGAAGACCTCGGATAAAAATATAGAAAAACATATTCTGCTGTTTGATGAAGCTTTCACAATTTTTATGATCGGTGAGGAAAGTGTCTGGGTTATTCACTTGACTCAAATCAGGGATCTCTAGTCTCTACCCTAGTTTTCTCCACATAATAAATACGACTATTATAACTGCATTTATGGGTTTATTGCAGTTAAGCTGCGCGCACTATTGATTTACTCATATGGCATCACAATAAAACTTACTCGTCAAATTTTTTAACATTCTCTTGGGACGATGATCTTTTTACTTCATTGTCATCTGGCGTGAAGAGTTCATCGTCGACATGAGTATCCTGTTGTTGAACTTGAGTACTCGGAGTTTTCTTCAATTGCCGCAGAATATTTTGAAGTTGTCTGAAGAGAACAACAGTGAAACTACAACAATAACTCTATAACTGCCTGCTATACACAACTGTAGCCCTTTCGCGAGCCAAGTTTGTTGAACGTAACGGGGTACTGACAGGTGTGTGCCACGGCATATAACAAGTTTGAGCAACTCACTCGTCCATATAATGTTCACTTCCATCTTTGCTTACAACTTTCATGGAATGGAATTCCTGGATCAAATTAACACAGGCTGAACTATTGTGCAGTTTTCTTTGTGAGTCGTCTGGCACGAGAAGATGAGCCTGAACAAAGAATAGTATTGCATATAGTTTGACCTGCTCACAGTAAAAACTATGACTCGGAACCATTGTCATTGTCGGCGCGAGATTTTCTCAACCAACGTAGATTCCCGTTTCGGTAAACAATAAGAAAATTGGAAATTAATAATGTCTGGAATGATAGGAATACTCTATATAATTATATTTTAAACGCAGCAGGCGCACACACAAAAGTATCAAAATTTGATTTTTATATATAGAAATCTACGTCGCTTGGCACAGGATTTCCAAACTAATAGTAATAAGTGTCAGATATATGCACCAATGAAAAAGATGCAAGGTGTCTTATAGCTTAGATACTAATACAACTCTTAGATTTCATGCTTCGTGGAAGTAAAATTTCCAAGTAACAAATGTTCCCATCACTAAATATTGTAGCAACTTTATGACTATGGACTTACCGGCAGAGATTGACGTCTTGCTAAATTCACCATGCGATGAGAGTCGAAACCTGCATGACTAGCTCTGCGCATGCCAGATACTTCCTGGCCACGAAGGGCTCGAAATCTGTCCATAGCAGGATTAAAATCAGAATTCTGAAAAGTATATGAAATTGAGGGATTAGCTCATGATTTCTGCATAACAAAACTTGCAACTTTTTGGGGTATCAATTCATTTCCCCATATTATCTTGAATTTCACGTTTTCGATGCAACAATGTCATAACCAAGTCTTGAGCGGCCATTTGGCCAGCTATAGCTATACTGGGTTTGGAATGACCGTAAGTTTCGTCAATTTTTATACAATGAGCGGCATGAAGCATTCACGTAGGCTACGTGATATTTTTTACTCCCAGTCTTATTCCAAGAAGTCTTCAGGTGAGTGCTTTGGTTTTGGCATTATTTGGGAATTGAAAGAATAATTTCCGAAGCCCGATTTCGACAATTTCCGACATTGGGATCACATAATTATTACTGTATGTTGACAAATATTATTCCTACTCACTCTGGTCAGAAGTTTGACACTATAAAACTTTGTATATAAGTCTTGAAATAAAAACTTCCCTTTTGATCAATTTTATAAAATATATGGAAAGGGTCATACACTACTCGTCGGCGCTCCGTCATCCATCGCTTTGCTTGTTTTCTTTTCTAAGAAAATAATAGTTTACAAACTATAACGAAAGGATGCACAGCTACACATAATGAAAGTATCAATAAACTACGCACATGTCACCTTTTGAATCTTGTTTAGTTGCGTTTTCTTCTGATATATCTGTTTCGCTTGAGCGGAACTACAACGTAAAACAAATTTTAACCCCGCGATAGGTCTTGGTGATGAGTATTGAGCCAATAGTTATCATAGAGTTATCAGCTCCGAATCCAGTTACGAATATTGCTGGACCGTTGGTGTTTAGATTTCTACGCATATGCCTTTTGCTCTCCTATATCTAACTTAGGACCGTTACCTGGTAACTAATTCCATATTTTATTTGGTAAATGCTGGGATCTGATTAAGCGGTGTCCCGATTTTCTACACAAAAAGGGAACTTCCTAAAGATCCTAGATTTGTGGCAACTAAGCTATGTTTTACTCCTAGTACCGGTAGCGACCATCTTTCCTATTAGGTTTATACTTAATAATTCCTCAAGCAGATCCTGAAGTATGAAAATAGGTATTAATAATCGTACTATTGGCGTTGTATAACTAACCGCAGCTCATTCACCTTTTTCTCTGGGGTAGGCGGTGTGACGATGATCTTAACGGGCGATTGTTTTATCTTGTTTTTACGGCGTGTTCTGGAAGGTTTGGTTTTCTTGGGTTTTTCTTGATGAGTTCTTGGCCGCCCTCTTCTTTCTCGTAAGTCTGAACTACAACAAGCGCCCATTATCCGCTAAAAATGATGGATACATGTCGAAGCCAAGTTCGACAGTTAAATCTAATCGGTATGTGAACTGAAATCATTACAATGTTTACATAGAAAACGTCGATTATTTGGTAACAAAATATTTCTTATTTTATGACGCCACAAAGGCATGCTGTAATTCAGGGTTCACCAAACTTTTTTGACCGCGGGCCGGGTATGACTCAAACTGTGTTGAAACGGGCCAGACAAATAATTTTGTCAATGTAATACAATAAATTCACAAAAGCTGGGAAATCCATGTACGCATCACGTCTCCTAAGTACCGTTACGCCGTGTTGGAATACTGCTCATAAAAACGACTACGGACTGCCTGCTGTAGCATGGAATTCCATGAAATTTTGACATAATTAGATGAAATAAACAACTATTATCTGGTATTTGATTTTATAAATTTCCCAACATTCGGAGTTTTTAAAAATTACGCTCAAGTTATACGTAGTTCAAATTGATGATATTTTCTATGGACACCAATAAAATTTATGTCGACGTGTGTATTTCTTTCCTAACTTGATACTCACCAATTTTTATGAAGTTTGTACAATCAGAACATCGTTAATTATTACCCACAATGAACCACTGTCAAACTATCATGCACAACTTCAGCGTTTATTTGCGACGATCTTTCGTCGGTGTCAAGAGTGTTGCCGGAATAAAATCCTGAAATAGTCTCAATACTCCATACAGACGCGATCGAAAGATTAGTGATTGATATGTATATTTCATATTTATTACAGTTCTTATCAAAAAAGTAATACAATCTTTGTGGAAAAAATTGGCCTGTCGGGCGGTTCTAAAATTCCGATATCTCCGTAAACTTGGTATTGTTTGTCATTTTCCCTCAAATCTATCCAATGACGCAGTTTTTATTTAAATCGGATGAACTTTATAATTTTTTTTTGAAACATACCTACATGAATATCCGCATTTAAGCGGTACAAAAGTTAGTGTGACTTGTAGAATTGGAGCAATACGCGAAGGATCACAGTACTGTTAGCGCGAAATGCACATTCGGCATTCATTTCAGCACAAGAAACGTAAACAGTTTCGCCCCGCGCCCCACGAGTGAATCTTTCACAGAAAACGTTGCGTACCCGGTAGAGAATTTTAGCCTATTTTGTCACAGCTATTTCTAGACTAATTTTTCATTACTACTATTAAAACTACAATTCCTAAGAAGGCAAATGATGATTGACTTATTTGATTCATACTCAAGTTTCCCAAACACAACCAAAAACTAACGAATAGCATTCAAAATCGCAAAAACGAAGTATTGTTTACAATCATGATTGAAAATCTGTCAGGCTGACAAAAGTGTCCGAGAAGACGATGCTCGGGAAAATTTCTCTTGGAAACAAATTTCGCTATTTTTACGTGTTATTGAGGGCCGGATAAAATGACGCCGCGGGACGTAAGTTGGTGACCCCTGCTGTAATTGGATGAGTTTCCAGTTGTATTTTCCACCAGTGAAGACTTTTCATGAGTAAGACAGCCAAAATGAATTATATCCGAAATGCCAATGTTTTTGCTATACATTCGTTAAACTCGATAATTAATCTCGCCTAAATAAATACGGGAGAGAGGCTTTGCTGGCATTCACTTCGATGTATATAGCTAGGGTAACCATATTTTTGTGACCTCAAAGCAGGACGCCTCTAAAGACCACAGCTTTGATTTTTTTCAACTTTAAATTTACCGAGGGGTACATTAGGGGTATACATCACATCCCGGCTGTCTTCACTGACCATATTGTCATCGAGAGTTAATGCGCTGTCTGTCTAAATATAGGTTTCAGTTAGAAAAATAGAAAGGAATTTACCTTAACGTTTAGCACCCTCTTGGCTTGGCGTACGGGGCTTACAAATAACAAATTGTAGCAATTATCCGCCAACAATGTTAGCGGCCGACTTTTGGCTGGCCAGTCGGGACGCCGGGACAAGACGTTGAAGAGTGAGACTGTTCCGCCTAAAGCGGGACGTATGGTAAGACTGTATATAGCAGTCAAAAGTTACAAGCAACATGAATCACGACTTCCTCCTGTATCATATAAATATTGACCTGCGTTGAGCAACCAAAAAGACTATGAAATTTTGTGAAGCAATTTTAGTCACTAGTCGCGTCTCTTTATGCATGTTTACTGATGGGGAGGAAACGTGAACTAAAAAACCTAAGGTTGGAAGTAAATTTCACAAAGCATAAGTTGTTATATTCAGGCGTGATACACCTTGGCTACTCCATTGATCGCATGATAAAATGCACGCCGTTCTTGAACCAATAAGTTGTTCTACACGTCAGGTTTTATTGCGCTCTCAGTCACAGGTCGGCCCTGGGATGAACACGAGCAAAGGCCTTCACTAGATACCATTCGCGGGGACCACATTAACTTAAAAGAAATTGACTTTGATTTGTTCAATTCTTTGCCTGTGATGCAGTTATTTTAACGTGGCGGAAATGGTGAGAGTCTTTGAAATAGGGCATGGATTACTGTTTTACGATAAATGTCGCGAGTTGACGCGAGGTTCCAACAATTATATTCTTCTGCAGCATTTGCTTTCATCTTTCAACGCCTGTTCGTTACCGAGGTGACTTCCGATCATGCTCGATCACGTCTTGCAATTTCTACTGTTATATGTAGTGACGAAATAACGAACGAACTGCTTTGTCAGCTAGTTTATGATTGACCAATGGAATGAGTAGGCGGCTTATATATGGCGCCTTGAGCGATGTGATCTCTTTATGAGAGGGAATTGTTGCAGTCATTGCTCGTATAAATGATAAGAATTTATCCTATTACAGTTGTTAGCAAGTTTCAAGTGGGATATTCCAGCGATCTTGCACTTCCTATGTGTGAAATTAAAACTTGTCGCTTCAGTGCGAATCAACATACCGGTACGTGGGCATATAAGTATCTGTGGTTTCTACATCGGCAATCGAAGAACTGAACGTCCTTGTCTGACGCGTTTCGAGTTACAGAAACTTTATAAATAGCCGTTCAGTGGGTTGCCGATGTTAGAACTAAACTTGAGCGATCCATCGGGCAAGCGCGGGCCATTATTAGTATTACAGTATAAGTAGGCTATATCCCTGTACGACATAGCAACCATTTTAGGTTCAGCAACCCAGAGTACGACAGGGTGAAAAATTAGCCGAGTATCAGCAGATAATTCACCTTAAATCATATCCTAAAGGTGTGCGAAATGCGAATGTCTGGCAGAAGTCAGTGATGCGAGGCGAGGGTGTTTGCGTTTCTCTTGTTTTGCGTTGTTTATATTATTCCTGTTAGACTTGTGTAGCTTTACGTTTGGACCTAAGATTAGTCGTGTGTGGTTGGATAATAAATAACATTCATAATGTTAATTAAGATTCGAAGACACTTGTTGCGAAGTATTTACAACATGGCAAACGAACGAGGCATAACGAGTAGCTCGGCTGCATATAACAAAATATTGACGTTAGATAACATGAATCCGCACATTAAAAACGTGCAATATGCCGTCCGTGGCCCCATTGTGGTTCGGGCAGGACAACTCCGGAAAGAAGTCGAAGAGGGAGCAAAGAAACCGTTCACTGAGGTGATATCTGCAAACATTGGAGATGCTCATGCTATGGGTCAAAACTCTGTTACATTCTTGAGACAGGTGGTTGCGTTATGTGCATATCCTGAGCTTTTGAAATCCAACGACTTCCCCAGTGATGCAAAGGAAAGAGCGAAGCGATTGCTAGGGGGATGTGGTGGCGGAAGTATTGGTGCTTATTCTGCGAGTCAAGGAATTGAGATAGTTCGCAATGATGCAGCCGCATATATTGAAAAGCGGGATGGTGGGATTCCTGCCAATCCAAATGATATATTTTTGTGTACTGGAGCAAGTGATGGGGTGGTTGCAATGCTGAAGCTTCTTGTTGCGGGGGAGGGGAAAAACAGAACTGGGGTCATGATACCTATTCCGCAATATCCTCTATACTCTGCCACATTATCAGAATTGGATGCTCATCAAATTTCATACTACTTGGATGAGGAGAATAATTGGGCCCTAAGTATTGATGAACTTGAGAGATCATATAACGAAGCAAAGAAGACTTGTAATCCGAAAGTTTTGTGTGTCATTAACCCTGGAAACCCAACTGGTCAAGTTCTAAGTCGAGATAACATTGAAAAAGTTATTCGATTTGCTGTTAGCAAGGGTCTGTTTATCATGGCCGATGAAGTGTACCAAGACAATGTATACGCCGATGGTTGCTCTTTCCATTCATTCAAAAAAGTTCTTTTCAGCCTTGGCGAAGAGTTTAGTTCAAATGTTGAACTAGCATCATTTCATTCTATATCAAAAGGATATATGGGAGAATGTGGTTTTCGTGGTGGATATATGGAAGCAGTCAACTTACATCCTGGAGTCAAAGAGGAACTCAGGAAATTGGTCTCCTGTCGCCTTTGTCCTCCTGTAACAGGCCAGGTTGCACTTGATATTGTTGTAAATCCCCCATCTCCCGGTCAACCATCTTATGAAAAATTCATAGCAGAGAAAACAAAGAACTTGACAGATCTTGCTGACAAAGCCAAACTAACTGCTGAAATGTTCAACAAAATCCCTGGAATTAAATGCAATGCAGTGCAAGGAGCAATGTATTCTTTTCCTCGTATTACAATACCACCCAAAGCTATTGAAGCGGCGAAAGATGCCGGTGAAGCTCCTGATAGCTTTTATGCTATGCAGCTTTTGGAAGAAACTGGAATTTGTGTCGTCCCTGGCAGTGGGTTTGGCCAATTACCAGGAACACATCATTTTAGAATGACCATTCTACCACCTAAAGCGAAAATGGATTCTCTATTCAAACTTTTCCACGACTTTCATACAAAATTCACTGAGCGTTATGGTGGAGAATGTGGTGACAAATAATTGCAAAAAAACATATTAAACACAAAGATGAACTTGTTTTACTGTAGTGATGCACTTGGAAATATCACAATCCTAATGATTTTATATTATTGCCTTACCTATATTATTCAGGGTGGCAAAGACAAATAATCAATCACCTATCCAAAAGTCTTTCTTGTTGAAAATGAAGTTTATAATTTTCTATTAGCTTCCACTTGCTGTGAACAACTCTCATTACTTTGTCCCTAAGCATCATTATTTAAAATATATAAATCCTCATTCAATTCATTCTTATCAGCATTCAAAATCTTGTATTTTTCAAACTGCCATTTTCTGGTTATTTGTTTTGTTAATGTTGCTGGTATCCTTGTCTCTAAAACTATTGAACAGCATGACTCTGGTCAAGAAATCTAGTCTTAAAATGGAATTATTCGTGCCAAGTTATTATTTTATATTCTGTGCTTACTATTCTTGCGATTTTAAATGGCCATTTGACTAATGTAATTGAAAAATCAAATTAAAAGACATTTGTTTGTATATATCTTTTTGTAAATACCGGCAGTTTCTCTCTTTGAGCATCACTGCATGAAATTATGATATGCTGTATGATTATGCATGTTTCAATCAAAGTACTTAAATCAGTAGAACTAATATCAAGAGCTGTACCAAATGAATTGTTTCTCTTATTTCAAGTTCAACAAGTTTATTCATACATAATTGTGTGTGGACCATTGATATATTGTGTTAATGAGGTACAATCCATACATGGTTGCGCGCATTAAAAAGTTGTATAGCCTACTCTATTTTGGCTTAGAAGCTGTGTTGTGTTTAAATGAAATAACAATGCAAATATGAAAACGTCTCTTTATGATATTTCTATAGTTTTCTGACTTATTCCGCGACCGTTTATCCTTAAAATATGTTACATGACATCAATAAATGCTGTGAGTATGACCACATGCGTATGGCAGGCTCAAGGAATCAGATTTTATGGAAGGCTCGGGTATCATTTATCAAAGTGTAAACCGTCGGCGAGACTGCCTCGAGTGATGACATGTGGCGCTACATGACTCGCAGTTTGGGGTTCTATCCAACGCTGATTAGCAAAGATAAATCTGGTTATCTCTTATTACATAGATGACAGTAAGTTTATTTCGACACCGTTATTCGCACAACAGGCAGTAAAGTGGTTGATAAAAACAAATAGAGAAATACTGATTATGAAATCAGGAGAGCAGACAAGGTTTCAAACGTACAGAATATAAGGGGGAAGATATTGCCCGGAAGAAATGGTACATGTTCACTCACCTAAAATAATTTACACACACACAACCAAAGAAAAATTATAAAGTGAGAAAAACGCGATAAAGTCAAGATAAATTACATAGTAAACAAAAATAATGAATAAAAATTATTTGGAATTAAATGTGAGTCAATGTTTGGATGTGCAAGGTGCTGCCGTCAGCTAAATTTTTATAAAGCTCCATCATGTTGTAATTTTAATCAGAATTGGCATCGTGTCTATCAAGGAACAGAACGAGAACTCTTAAGCCAGTGGTTCCCAAATATTTTAATATCGTCACCCCTAAATCGAATTATTAAACGCTCAATTTCCCCTTTACATGAAAATACAGAAGTCATATCGTTATCACTTTTTCATTGACCAAAAATAGCGATAATGCTAACAGCTATTCAGTGACGTATCTACTTGAAATGGCGCCCATGACAAAGTCTGAAAATGCGCCCCCTTGATAGTTGTTTGACAATTTATAATGATTATTATTGAATTAGGATACTTCTACGTTATTATTTGAGTAAAAATACGAGTTTCAGTTATTCCCAATTTGAAATTATTTCTTTGAAACGTTTTATTATTAATACTTTTCGCCGTTTTTGCGCCCCTGTTTAAACGGCGCCCATGGCACTAGCCATTGCTGCCACACCCTAGATACGCCAGTGCAGCTATTGCATCCTCCGATCCGATTTTAAGATGCTAAGGTTGTGCTAGCTCAGCATTTTAGCCTACAATCTGTACTGCAAAGTATTGTCATCTTTGAACCGCGTGACTAGACGATTAGGCTCATTTACTGCATGCGGGTATTGAACGTCCAGCTTTTCCGCAGACTGGTCTACGTACGGTGATTAGAAAATAAATTGTTAAAACGGTGAAAGTCTGAATGGATTATCCCCCTAAAAATTGCCAAATTACCTCTTCGAGGGGTAAATACCCCCAATTAGAAAACCGTTTTACGGTGTGAGTCGACTTAACGGATTATTTTTCGAACAAGAGATGGTTCGCTGATATCACAACATCCCAGAAATGATTCGCGGAAACCATCTGAATCCCATCACCGATGAAGAGTGAAATAGATCTCGGGACAATAGGTTTCTAAATATTGACAATATTTTTACGATTTGAATTGTAAATATTTATGAACCGCAAACACTGCAATACTAAATTTAAGGCTCTTGTTATATATGCTACATGAAAGTGAACGGCGAAAAAACTCTTCCTTCTGGGGTGTAATATTGTGTTTCCAGTAAAGGTCTGCATATCATCCCACTTGACATGAAAGCAGTTGGGAAGTCTAATAAAACAGGCAAGAATATTGTATCGAACGACAAACAAAGACGAAAATCGTACGGAAGAGACTTTGAAGTCAATGCCTACCCACAAAACGTTATTTGAATCATACATAAAAAGGAAGGCGCAGTATATTGAAAAACAACTTTCAGGCAGTAATATGTTATCATCTGCAAGGGAATCTTTTCGGAACAAGGAAGACGTTGCCTACTGCATCACTTGGGAATCAGTGTGACAAAGCATACACCCGAGAAACTAGAGCTTTTGGGGAAAGAGGATTAGGAATATTGAAGAGAGTAAAACACCGTTAACGAAACAGACGAAAATCGCAGGGCTGGCCAACATGCTTTCGACCGCGATCGACTAAAATATTTAAAATAGATCCTGATTGGTAATAAGGTCCTACATCAGGGTAGTCCGAACCCAGGCCCGCGGGCCCCATATGACCCGCCGCTTAATTATCTGTGGCCCGCGTCACATTCGGCCCATCGAATCGAATGCGGATTCTATTAGCTTAGAATGTCTACGTGTTTGCACAATAAAAGTGTTTGTTTTGTATTGCACTGTTTATCTATCCTTGGTGCTTTTGTGGCCCGCGAACAATGCAAAAATAATTTTGTGGCCCGCCGAGGCGACAACCTTGTTCTACACAAAAACGAATGGGCACTGAATGTGCAGATAACTGCACACACGCATACAAAAAATAACACCGCTTCCAATAAGAAGGCTTTGTGGTCATATTATTATTGAAATCGACACAAAATTTGTATTTTTTATTCTCCATTTAAGTTGTTGATTTGATTATTTAATTGTACCTGGCGTAAATATTTCATCATTTATTCAAGATTTATTCATATAATAGAATTCAGATAAAGAGCGTGCCTAATTTTTAGTCGTAAGTGTTGAAAATTCTTTAAAAAACCTTGCAAAGTATTATCCAAACAGTGAAATATCAATATTCCCAAACCACGAATGTTACGTGACTGCTCAAACTTCAGTATCTAATTTACAATTTTCTCCAAAAGCGATTCTTCGCTTGCTCGGAATTAGAACAAATTGGGCATTTTGATGCCACTGTTACCATTGCGAATAAAATTTATCACACTACTCTTGAAGTGAGACAATAACTTTCGCATACTGTGGAAGTTATTGTAGGATCGTTTGTCAGTCTAGTCTAGTCCAACGACTAACATACCGGTCTAGACACGCGATATTCGGCACTTCATTTTTGAACCTTGTCAGCTGAAAAATTTGTATTTGTTACGTAATATTATGCTTTATCGAGCTTGCCCAGACTCAAATACTGTATGCTTATATTGTATTTTGCGTATGTAAAGTACTGTATTCTTCCTGTTGTGAAATACACAACTGATTCGAGCAATTTTTGGGGCTATTTCTCTAAAATTCACTCAACATCAGACGCGATCGACTGCTCGAGATGTGGCGTTCGACCAGTCGATCGTGATCGACGTGTTGGCCTCCCCTGCCTTATAAGATGGGATGATACTACGTTTTAGAGGATTACTTTAGAACATCGGTTTCCAAAGGGGGCGTCGACCTGCATATTTACAAACTTTAAAAGGCATAAAGTACACATTTACGATCACAAAATTTAGTTTTACTTGGAGGCAGCTTTTTTTTGTATAAGTGCGTCGTGAGTTTTTTAGGATAAGTCCTTTCACGTCCACAGAGAGCCGTATGCCATGATTGGCAAAAGGAGTTAGGCTTTCATGTTTTCGGGTGCCTGACTTACCTTGTTTTGAGTCGCTTGTTTATTTAGCATGAATGAATTAATGGTTAATATGCAAATCCCGTGAAAAGTTTTTTGTGTTCACAGGAAATTCGAATACACATCCCGGAATGCACACTGGAAAAAACATTGGAAGGGAGAGGCAATTTGAAACAATACATCCTAATTCACACCGAAAAATAACCTTACGCCTGGAAGCAGCGAGGGAAATGTTTTACAGCGTCGGGAAATTTGGAGATTTATGTGCAAATTCTCTAAGGAAAAAAAACCGTATGCATGTGAAGTTTGTAAGAAATGTTCCACGAGTGCTTGAGATTTGAACATGCATAATGGAATTCACACCGGGATGAAACCATATGTATGTGAACATTGTTAAAATTGTTTCACGACTTTTGGCAATTTGAAAAGGTATATCCGAATTCACACCGAAATAAAATTATAAGCATGTGAATAGCGTGGGGAGGGTTTTAGAACATGTGGAAACTTGAAGGAGCATATCCGAATCCACATGATTGAGAACGTTATTCAACTTCGAGTATACTCTGAATAGACATGTGATGAATTGAAAATGAGAGCGCATATGACTAGAATTTGATGAACGATATACATGAACTCGAATATCAAATTTGTATTGATAATCTAATGTTTCGTTCTCAATAAAACATGTCCTCTAGTGACAAAATTAATATAAATTTTTATACGAGGGAAATTGTTATTAAAGTTAATTAAGATCGGCAAAAATTATAGAGCATGGACATAGCAGCAACACAATAATAATATAACTTGAATACGTAAGGAAATAAACCTAGTCCCTTTTTCATCTATCCATGGCCATCAGGTAGATGAATTTTTAATCGCTCACTGAATGTTGCAAGTGAGTTTTCTTTAATATTAGACGGGATTTTCCCCAAATTAGAATACCTTCTATTTTAAGCGATTTTTTTGTTAAAAGAAAATTGTCGATATCTTTCAGTTGTAATACTCCACACTGCTTGTATAAGAGTGAGTTATGAACGTGCTATGATCCTGCAAATAGCATACAGCGAATTGCCTTGTTATGCATAATTACTAGTGGTTTTAGCGTAGTTTCATTAGTTCCTCCCCAGCTGATAATGACATATTCCAGATGAGAATATATAGGACTATAATATTCAATTTTTACCTTTTCGATTTTGAGGATTCTACGTAATTTATACAATATTCCGAGTGATTGTGAAACTTTTTTAACATAAGGGATCAATATGAGGTTTCCATGACAAGCTTAATGCAACTGTACTAGTAAAAATATGCGTAATCGATTACCCCCTCATTTTGGTGAATTTTTCGTTTCTGCGGAGTTTATACTTATAGACAGGATTGCCATCTACCCAGAACCAAAAATAAGCACGGGCGTCAAGAAGGAGATCATACACGAGTCTTCAGATTTTCATCATTAGAAGCCGCGACGAGCAGGGTTGTACGCAGCTCCGAAGTCGCAAAAAGCTATGGAGTCACTGCTACATGCAAAGCAGGGGCAACTTTTTGTCACTCGAGGGCCAAAATCCAGTGTTACAAATTTTGGCGGGCCGCACATATTTTTTCGAAAAAGTTAAAAACTGAACGGGTGGCTGATGAACCACATTATTTATACAGATTAGAAATTAAATTAATTTTTTGACTTCAATTAGCAAGCGAACACTACGACAACTCGTGGACTCAAGCGTCTTACTATGCAAAATATTTACGAATAACATTTAATGTAACACTATTTGTTGCATTACGCTTGATACCTTTTCGTCATCAGGTGAAACAAGGCTGAATAAAACAAATAATTCAGTATTTGAAAACAAAAAGCGATTTTTTGATAACGATGAGGAAAAGAATTATTAATGAAAAACAAGAACAACATGATAACGATCCGTAGGTTTCAGTGAAGCATTGTGGGCCGGATTATTTTTGCCCGCGGGTCGGATATGGCCCACAGGTGGCCGCACCCTGATCAAAAGTCGTCTTACTTTGGTTTCCCGCAATGCTTATTATGTTTTAGTATTGTGGGCACTGATAACCCCCTTTCTCAATGTCGCAATAGTAGTAGTTATTAGCAAATTCCTTTTCATATTCGAAACGGAACTCATGGTTACGCTTACTCATTGTCTAAATTGCTTTGTACGCAAAACAAGAACGAGTCATTGCTAAGACAAAATAAGCACACAACTATAAGCACTTTTCTTAGAAATAAGCACATCGTTACTTTATAAGACGCGGTCTAGAAAATAAGCACAAATCTTAGAAATAAGCACGATATGGCAACCCTGCTTATAGAAGAGTTTATAATATATGCTTTGTTCAATACTCGTTGATGTCGATTTAAACATTAAATAAAAGACTTATTATCACATATTATTTTACAGTGTGGTTGCGTGGCCAACCGAAATGTGAATAAGTTGATGTGAAATTTAGACTATCGTTTGCATAGTCGCCAAGTTACTGGTATATTGATATAGCAAAATTGATTGAATCACAATTAAAACGAATAAATTTAATAATGGAACCAAAAATTGTGTACCAGCGAATCAGATTTATAATTTTGGATACCAATAGTTTGAATCTTCAGTACTGATATTCTGAACTGCCCATCTCTATTAACAAAGCATATGACCAACCTTGACTAATTCCATAACAGCCAATTGTTGAATCCTGTCCTTCCATAACTAAATTCTGAATGACTAAGACTGTTTTCGTTTTATTTAGCGAGAAAAAGAGAAAGAAAAAGCGGTGACAGATATACAACAATAGTACAGTGAAAGAAAATAATTCACAATTTCAACTTGAGCTATGAAAAAATGAGTGCACCAATTGAAATTAAAACTGTGGCTCACATAATGTAATACTAATCATAGCAGGTTTACCTAAGGCAGTTTGAAATTGTAGACACAAAAATAGACGAGCCACTTATTTGATTCAAATAGCTAATTCAGATAATCAAACTACAATCTAACACAGGGGCCGGGCCCTCAACCTTTTCTCTTTCATTAGCAAGTTTCAAAAGTAATATTTTTTTATATTTTCACATCTACAATTACCTGAAATGAATTATGGGTCAAAAAGAGTATGGAAGAAAGAATTTGAATGTAGAATTGCGGATGAGAGCACTTAATACCAAGCTATGAGCTCGATGGCCGTGCTTGGTCAAATATGAAAGGAAATTGAAGGCCTATTCATGTAGTAGAGAAAAGTGGGAATTTGTTGTTTTCAAAATCTAACAAGTAAGGTGCAGCAGTTTGTGTTTACAAAACAATGGAACATATATATTGAAATAATTTTACGAACCAAAAATTTGGAAACATTACAAGCACTCTCAACTATTTACGCAACCAGAGGCAGGAACATGCTTACTATTGTGGTGCTTCATCAACATGAATGAAAATTACAGAATACAAAGTGAACCCAGAATTGACATATATAACACATGACTAGACTACCTAAAAAGTTACTTATATCACTTTCAATTGAGGCGCATATGGAGTTATATGTAAACTAGTAATTTGTGGCATTATAGAGCGCCTATTTGACATTAACAGATTAAATCGATACACTGCAACATGATTTGAGCAAAACAATTCATAGAAAAATAGAGATATCAAGACACCTTCACATATCCACCATCTTCACTTACCCTATTCATTGTCGAAGAGATATTACAGACCACAGATATGCTTTCTGTTTTATGTCTCATACAGCCCACACTCCTATTGCTGGAAAGCATCATCAAGCCTTCACTAAATCTCAGACTTTCTTTTGTTTTCTTCTTCCCGGACCGCCCGAAGCAAGACATTTCAATGAATCGTACATAGGTGCAAGACTAAATTCTCTGGAAAAGGGTAAAAAAATTTTGATTAGTGAAAAATATAGCAATGCTCAAATTTACGGACACAAAAGTCAAGCAAAACGAGCAGCAGATTAGCAAAACGGACGATTTGAACAACATGAAATATAAAGTGTCCCGTTTTAATTAAAAAATTTTTGGACCTCCTGAAGTATGCGCACCAAGATGGCGCACAACCTGAACTAAGGTTGTGTTCCAGGTTAGGGTTCAGGTTGCGCAACATCTTGGTGCGCATACTTCAGGAGTACCAATTTTTTTCATATTGCCAGGTTCCATGTGACTGACCCAAGGAAATTTGAACAAAATAAAGATTTATAATGACATTTTCCATCTTTAATTACTGAAAATTGGAAATGGAATAGTCCATGAGTTGCAAAGAAATGTGTTTAATCTTGTTTTCAAGCAATTGCAACAGGTAAACTGATAATTGAAAGTTTGATGCTTTTCTAGAAAATTTGCAACCAATAAATCCACTTACTCTGGTTCTATATGGGGTGTTGGGTATCCAAATACATTGACGGGTAAACTTTCATGAACTTCAACAGATTCAGCTAAATACCAGATCATTAAACATATTAGACATGTATAGACGAATAAAATTGATATCATCAATGCAACAACCTTTACGAGTTATCTTTTTTTTCAGAGTTTTATGTTCTCACTGGATTCAGACACAGAGTCAACTCTACAAAGTTGGATGCCTGAGTAGAATTCTGAATTCCACTGAGTCGGTAGCTTTAGATAGTGATAAGTCAGAACTACCTACTAGAACTCAAAAAAAAAGTTTAAGCACTCTTAACAGTCAATTCGAAAAAGTTGTATGCATCAAAGTTTTATTATCAAAATCTGACTTTCTCCAAGTTTGAAGATGAATTCAAAATTTTGGTACTCCTGAAGTATGTGATCCAAGATGACGGACACCGGAACGTCGTATGTGTACCAGGTTAGGGTTAGGCCAGAATTTCAGGTACAAATACCACGGGAATTTACCGAACTTGTAAAAGAACTAAAATAAGGAAAATTGTAATGAAATTATGGCCTAACCTGGTACACCTACTACGTTCCGGTGTCTGCCATCTTGGTTCACATACTTCGGGAGTGCCGAAATTTTCACAACTCAGAGTTTAACCCATCTGGCCCTGTCTTCATGATCAAATACATTTCATTGGAGCTATAATTAAGCATATTTTACCAACCATCCTAGTTTAGTTCCTTTCTAATACTTACCATCATGTAAATGACCAGAAAATGTTTCGATGACCGGTGCTTCATATACCGCTCCTTGCTTCATTAATTTCTGACGTAATTTTTCATTGTACCGATATTCTCGAATTCGTTGAATATCCCACCTATAAACAAGAAAAAAACGAATAATTTGACTTAGTCTGACAGCGGGCAAATGAGCTTCGACTACTGTCACCCACTACAAAGTGCGAAATTTTGAAAACGTCAATGCACAAAAAAAAACGAATCCCACAGAAAGTAGCTCAAATGTACAGTATCTGATACAAAATTTTCAAACTTATTATGTTTAATCCTTATTATGTACAGATTCCAATAATTTTTGTTGTTTAGGTACACGTTTTGTAAATATATTGGAATGTTCGGTACAACAAATAGGTAGTCAGTCATACACCAATCCTGAACGAATTATGTTCTGCTACCGAGATATCACTGTATGTTTTTCTGAATTTCTTTTATATATATTCTAATTGAATATTTTTTAATCATCATTAAGTTCAACTTTATTTGAATAAAAATTTCAAACAAACCGTTTTCTCTTCTTTTCATCTTGTTCGTGCTTCATATGACGCTTAATGAATGTTGCATCATCTGTACACTGATATAACAAAAAATAATGTATCAGGGCCCAAGGGTATTGTAAATAACAAAACATAAGGGTACTTCTGCGGTATGTGTACCAGATTAGGGTTAGGCCATGCTTCTATTCAGATTTTCCTTATTTTAGGTCTATTACGAGTTCGGAGACTGTTTGGGTCAGCCAAGTGAATACACTCCATGCCCAAAATCAGTCCCTGTGCACAACTAGATGTAAAGTAGGCGAGTTGCCTCCATATCGGTACATATACTTCTGGATACTATAAAGCTGTAAAAAATAAGTAACATGTAGTATTCGTACTTGAAATTATGGCCTAACCCTAACCTGGTACACATACTACGTTCCGTCTTCCGTCGCCATCTTGGTTCACATACTTTGGGAGTACCAAAATTTCGACTACATCTCCAAACTTGGAGAAAGTCGAATTTTGATAATTTTTGATGAAAATGAAAATTTATCTGAGGGCATATAAGTCAAAATATCCAACCTCCAGGTTAACTTGGTCACTTGTTCCTATCAATGGAGAGAATTCTTCTTCTTTCCAAGTAGGAACTGAATAAAACAAGACGAAAATATAATACACTGATAGTCTTTGAACGTAAACTTTTTGCTGCTTGTACACAGCCTTGTTTAGAGTGGAAAACATGAAAACGTCTTGTATGAAATCAACGTCATCTGCTGTTGAAGCGTAAATGATCACATGGCAATATGTATATTTGAAAAGAGCAAAGAACATGTTCATGATGAATAATATTTATCATTTGTTAGAATACTTCCAATACTATACAAAAAAATATTTTATGCCCGCTTACTTTTTAAAGAGCTGTCCACTTTTATGCTTCCACATTTAAGATCCCACCACCAGTGGTTTAAGTCAAAAGTGGGAGAAAAACGAAAATAGGATACACCGGTTCTCATTATCTCAGTACATTTGGACAAATCTTTATTCGTTGGATTCTTAATTTCTGCAAAAAATTCAAACAATATAATCAGGAGAATGTTAATTCAGACATCATATATATAATGCAACTGGTGCAACCGAAAAAAAAATGGGCGCTTCCCTGGTATGTGCAACAAGATGGCGGACACCTGAACATAGTATGTGTACCAGGTTAGGGTTAAGCCATAATTTTATTCCAATTTTCCTTATTTTAGTTCTATTACGGGTTCGGGGACTAGCCAAGTGACTTCCGTAGTATTTGTACCTTATATGATGGCCTAACCCTTACCTAATACACATACTACGTTCATCATACACCATCTTGTTGCACATACTACGGAAGTACCAAAAAATGTTTTTAGGTAAATTTACAACTTTTTGTAGCCAGGACGAATGAGATTAGAGTGGAGTCGGCGACGGAATTAGGCAGGTTTTCAATTGAGTTGGGATGTATTTCTGAGTTCCTTCTTCAGAGACTCAGAGAGCATTAGGTTTGCTAAGCATTCTGAACTGTTTATCGAAGATAACTTGATACTTTTGATATCAAAATTTTATTTCCTGCGTTGGAAGTCAAAAGATCCTGATCCAATAGGAGCTGAACTTCGTACAGCAACAAGGGCAATTCTTTTCAAAAATAACTATGAACTTACCCAAAGAAGGATTATCAATGGCAGCCAGGCGCAAAATATCCCTATCCATAGGTTTTATAGTTTTTATTTGTGACTGAAGTTGCGGACTACTGCTGTTTTCAGCAGTTTTAAAAAGTCGAGTTATTTCTGTAGCGATCGCAACACAATGTGGACAACGGTTACAGATTTTGAATGGAAACTCGTCAAGCTGTGGTGATGACTTTGTGATGTCACAAAATGTTTTAATCGCTTTTTCTGGGGGTGAAATCATCATGGCTTCCATGAGTTCAGCTTGCTTTTGTTCAACAAAAGACAATGGAACAGGAATTGAAGTTTTATCATTAGGGGTTGATAATAAATCCGATTTGAGTTCTGAATTTGCACCAATGTGTTCATGTTCAATTTCCGAGGTTAACGTTGTGTCAGATTTTTGGACATGTTTCACAGGTGGTAGTTCACCGGATGCGGTGTGTCGTCGCTTTTTTGTTTTCAGCACAACTGTTGAAGTTGGCGTTACAGTTTTTGATAGATCTGGTATCTCATCGTTCATACTATTTGTTGGTGTTTGTTGTGGTTCCACAGATGAGTAGCTGTTGTCTCCAGTTGTTAAATCTGATGATTTTCTGAATATTCAATTTGAAATCTCAATTTTAAACATCATTAGATTTTGACTGTTATCAATTGTAACCAACAGTATTTAACATATAGCCTACTGTTATCATTTTATTAGCTTATCTTTAGGTTGTGAAAATTATCAAACTATTTGTAACCACTGGTCGATGACAGTTTCTGCCACCGTCAAGTCTATGCCCTTGAAGCATTGAGTCAAATAAAATATTCATACCACAGAATTCTACAGTATAACGATATATCACTTATACCTTTTTGCTGATGACTTCGGTGATCGTGGGGAATCCTCAGGCGACTCTCCCTTTCTCTTAGACATTCTACGGCGAACTCTGGTCAGCTGACATTTGTACTGTTGCAAAAAATGATAAAATAATTTCGCCTATCATATGTCTACTTGCTGAAAAATAAGAATAGACCAAAAGATCTGAGTAATTATTCATTAGCAATATTAATAAATAGGCTCAAAACGTCAAAGATTTGAATAAACATTGCTATTTATGAAGTATTAGCATTCAAATTTTTTAATTGTGTTTTATTATTTTTTTACATACATTTGAGTTGGAAGCTTTCAACTGCATTATTTCTCTGTCTCGAAGTCTAAGTAGATCCTGTTGTCGACTGATGAGAGAAACCTAAAATTTTAAACCTTCAATTTTATGAAATAGCAGCAGGGACCCTCTTGCATTAGAATGAGATTATTCCGACCAGTCACACCTCGGTTAAACCGCTAAGCACAAGTCGAAATCATGCTAAAGTTAAACAGACCCACTATTTCTACATAATGTAATTCTTTTGTATGGAATGGTTTCATAAGATTTTGCATTTTGCAAATAGATAGTTTCACTAAAAATATGTTGTCAACTGTACTATTGAAATCGTTTGTTTTTGTGGATCAGAAGCAATTTTTTTATTCAGCGTTGTATAATTTGTCCATTATCAATCTAAACTAACGTACTAAATATATTAAATAATAAAAGATTGAAGTATTCAGCTCACTTTGCATATACTGAGCAGTATGGAATACCGAAGCGTTACTCTACCTGTAGTAAAAGTAATTGTTTCAATCTACCAATTTCAGCATTGAGTGAGCCATCAGTAGAAACATCTGAAACTGTTTTGCTTCCATCAATTCCACCAGAATTCTAAAATATATTATAGGATTTTCAAATTTAAGTATGAGGTGGAAAATACCAGAGAGACAGCTTGATCATATGGCGCCCAAGGCTTCTTGTCCAGCTAATCAGTTCATGTCAGGAATAGCTAACCAGTTATTTGTTTCAGATGTATGACTTGGTGGTATAGGCAGTAGGACACAGTTCTCCGATTCTAAGATGTCTCGACATTTGGTTCAATAAAACAAACACTCAATCCGTCTCTGAAACAACGTCAGATCACGCCATGCTCGTCTAAAAAATTATCTAAATTAATCGTGACGTGCATCGGTCGTCACATGACCAAAATTGCAACGGCAAGGTGAAATATCAGGTTCAAATTCCATGCCCGACACATCGACAGTGTGATAAATTAAGTAGAAAATGCAGGAACAGAACGAATCTGGGCATTTCAAAATAAAAATAACTTTTTACATATCAGTGAATCTTTGTGTAGAGCCTTATTCAGAAGAAAAGGTGTATAAAAAAATGAAAAAACACATATTTCAAACATGCCTCACCTTCAATTCTGAATCAACCTGCATTTTTTCATCTTTTGTTGGATTATGGGTAACAACATTGACCGATTTATTGTCCAGTTGCGGAAGGAGTGCTGCTAATTCGTTATTTTGTTTTTCGCTTTCTGTATTCAATAGCGGCCCATTAGTAGATTTTTGTGATGACAATACATTTCCCATCTCATTTTGTGGTAATTCTTTGTGAACTTCTGTATCAACTTCAGAAGTTTTTGAGTTTTGTGGTGATTGGTTTTTAGACTTTTGGGATAAGGCTGACAATGTGCCTTTTCCTTTCCGCCCACGAGATTTCCCTCTACTAAATGAAGATTGTTCAGACCGGTTCACATCCTCAGTTACAGTAAACACCATCTTATGAATAAATGTGCATGATTTCTACTTAATTCTAGAAAAATTGATAGTGTTAAAAAGGTAGACTACTAAAGATATGATCAAATTTTATTGCATTTCCGTCCTATGATCATACACTCGTATTACGGTACTGTATTACCGTACGGTACCAGTACCGGTACAATATTCTAGAATTAAGCAACATTTTATGATTTAGACATACCTCAACTCAAATTGTTGTTTTCAGATTGCATATTTCTGTATTTCTGGATTTTCAATCCAATATCTACAGTCTGACAGTATTTATTTAAGTATTTGGTTCATGACTTATGGTTCTACTTCAGCTCCTAAAGAACCATAAATTAATTTAAAGAAACTTAGCAGTCTAGGTCAACTAATTTCCATTTATGCAGTTACCGGTATGCATTTCATTCTGCAGAGTTGTGATTGCTTCGTTATCATCCGGATAAGAAATATTTCAAGCTGCAGAGTCTGTTGACCATTTAACAAAATAAATAAAAGTAACAAATATTCAAATTGAGCATCGTCAAACTTCAATTTGGCATTTGCGGTTACCTCGCCGATACCGACATTCCACGTAGAATGTCACGAATGTCATCTCACAATCTCAAGCCCCGCCCTAGCTCCCCCAATTTCACCTGCAAATTCATGCAAAATCTTGTTGCCAGATTTTCGAGTTTCCATCTTCGTGACGTAAATGACGTCAGAACACAAGTAGTGGGAAGAGTCAAAGACACAGAAACGAGTTATAATATGTATATAATATATTTTCGTATGATATAGGTAACGGTATGCCTGAAACTCACACAGACAACAGAGTTAATACTCCTGATTTGGTAACCCACAGTTCTACGATTAGAACACAGATTACCTAACATACCATATGGAATCAGTTTAATACTCCGACAAGGGACAAACAAATAGCAGAATAAGTCTTCATTTACTCAATAAATATGGCTCATGAATGAGCTTCGTAATTGACTTAAATAATTCGGGTATGCTTCAATAACCAACAAATCAGTGTAACTGTGAACGAAGACAATACTAATCAACCCAAAACACATATAGAAAGTCCAGTGGCGGCGCGTGGTCATTTTGACAACCTGGGCAAGCTACTGCGGGACCAAGTCACCCCCATCTACGGGGACAGAATGAGCGCTGTAAGTTCTCCTATCATTTTATCAGTATAAAAACCATTCCATTGGTAACAACCAATCGGCAAAAGCGACAATTTTTAACGATAAGAAAGTGTCTTTAAAACCGGTCCAAGTCAAGGGATTAATAAATATAGACATATTTTATTTTGAAACCTCTTTCAAAAGGAAAGGCAATATTTACCCAGATAAATACAATGACATATTAACAGAAACTTCGGAAAAGCAGACAAAACCTAAAATAAGGTTTAAAACGTTACTATGAAGAAAGGAAAGTTAATGCAAAGATAAGGACATGCGTCGCTCACTCATAGATATATATGCTGCTAGACTTCTACTGCATGAACATATATGCAACACGCCGCGGTTTCTTGGAAGCAAAATGCTCAATAACGCGCTGATTAAAGTCATGCATCCCAGAAATAACGTCTCTGTGAATGAATAAAACAGCCAAGGAATTTATTCTATCTTGCTTCATTGTGTTTCTGAGATACGTTTTAATACGCTTCAGCGTGCTGAATGTTCGCTCTGCGTCGGCGGAAGAAATAGGCGTCGTCAAAATGATGTCCAGAAATTTTGCAGACGCCGCAAAGGTAGTTACTAGAGTGTTGTCTATGAGGAACCCATAGAGCGCGCAAGTTGATGTGATGTTCAAAAAAGTTTGATTGGTGTATATACATCGCAATTCATTTTCCAATTTACCCACGTTTATCACGGGGTAAAATTTGGAGACAGTAGCCAACAAATGGATGGGAAATTGACGTGCAAATTTTGAAAAATTTTTGGGGTTCATCAAAGAGAACGCGGCAAGGTGTTCAGTGCGCAGACGATCGCCTATTTGATTCACCAGAATGTCACAGCATTCCTTTGCAGACAAAATCAAACGCTGCGTTGTTTGCCCGCGGCGTAAGGAAGCACTCCATGTGTCGTCGTATTTTATTGTTTCCCGGATACGAGATACAGCATCGCAGAAGTCTGAAATACACGACTGCACAGACGCTCCATCCATTAGCCTTGACTGCAATGCGCCGTATAATACATCCACGTGATAGAATATTGTGGAGAAAAAATGAAAACTCACCATCTTCTAGCAGACGCTTTAGACCTGCCGCCTCCCTCACAGAGCGTTCGTCCCAAACCGGAGAGCTCTGAATGCCATTGAAACACTCAATGAGCTCAGACCTAATTTCGGACACGCCCTGCACCACGCGTGATTGAAAGTTCCAACGTGTTGGTGCACAAGCTGGGAGACGGCGGCTACATATCTGGCGAAGGAGGTCAGAGCGCTTCGGCGAAACGGAAAAAAATGAAGAAAACCCCGAAACATTTGCAAAAAATATACGGACGAGAAGGGTATCAAGACACATATTTTTAATAACGAGGTTAAAATGGTGTGCATAACAATGTAAAAAATGCGCATGAGGAAAATCTTCTTTTATATAAACTTGAACACCATGTTTCGACCCACTCATGACTGCTGCGCCGTCATAAGTTTGAGCTATCAATTTTGACTTCGCGTTGTAAGGCTGTAACACTTCTTTCAGTACAGCCGATATCCCGCAAGCCGTGCGATCAACGATTGGTACAAAGCTGTGAAATCTCTCGGTAGGTTTACCATCTTTCACAAACCGAAAAATCACAGCCAGTTGGGAAACGCACGTGATGTCAGTTGTCTCGTCAGACTGAATCGAAAGGAACTGGCAATTCTCAATTTCCAGAGCCAAATGTTGTAAATAAATTTTGTACATTGAGTCGAGCAAATCATTTTGGTTATCCTTAGATGTCCCTTTCGAAACAGTTGCGGCATCAAGATGATCTCTCAATACTGTATCTAGGGATGCGGTGTATTCCTCCATATCCAAAAATACCCCTCTATTAGAAGAGCCAGCCCGTTCATCGTGCCCACGGAGAGACAGCCCGTGACAACCAATGAACTTCAAAACATCAATCAATCGACCGAGAACATGGCGGTTTTTCTCGACGTTTTGGTTGTGCCGACGAATAGAAACCGCGCGTCCTTCATCCAACTGTGCTGCAATATTAACATTTCCGAATGTTCGGTATTTTACTGCATTGTCCAGATGCTCCATAGAAGATTGATGATTCCTGGCACGCTCGGAAAGATGTTTAAGATCTCTAAAACCAAATTTACACCAATGTGAGTCACGGGCGGTAGCAAAAAGTAGGCAATAGAACAAAAAAGTGCATTTTTGTCCTCGCTGTAACACAACCATTCGTGTTTTTTATACCAAGTTTCTGCGCAGAATGTACGCCGACGCTCTCCTCCGTCATGGGATTGTTCCAGTGAACAATTTTTGGCTGATAAGGCCCAAGACGTTGTACCTCTAATTTTTGTTCCAGCGGCAGCTGCGAAAACGGAGTGCGAAGTAGTGCATCAACCTTATTCATTATGAGGTCTAAGGCTAAGAAATGCGAAGCCGGAAAGAAGTGAGGAGCTCAAAAGGAATGTGGAAAATCGAAAGCAAATGGACTAAAGGTCTCTAACTGATTCAAATAGCGAAACAAGCGACAAAAACGAAGGCGAGGAAACTATCAACTCTTCAAGCAACCAACGAACGAGAAGGAATGCGTGAATATGTCAACACGTTGTTGTAAGAAACGTCGGCATTGTGTCGTCATAATTTCGGGGCTAGCCCCGATGATTTAGTAAAAGAAACAGAAAACAAACGAGACAAACGCGGCGAGTGGAAGATAAAAGAGAGAATACGATATACAATGAGCAACCGGGGCAAAATCGGCGTCGCCCCGTCGACGTTCGGCGAAGGCTTTGCAAGCGAAAAATGAACCATGTCGGGAGAATATGGCTAGTGTAGACAGTCTGTGCAACCGATATTGAGGTATTTTTTCGAATATTTTTTATTATACCGAAAAAACAACCGGGGCATTGCCCCGGTTGGCCCTATTGACGCGCAGCCACTGAGAAAGTCTTTCTTCGTGCCTACCAGTACCTATTTACCATTCTTAAATAAAACTACTAGATTTGCGTGCATTCATTGTTTATTTGCCTATGGTCACGAGTATGACTAATATAACATTTCATGATCTTTATTTGTGATAATTCCCATTTTTATTTCCCATGTGCCTGAATAATTTCCTAGCATGTGTTGTGATTAAGCGCTTGCTTGCGCATCCTTCTTATAATACGTTTTAAACGTCATTAACGGCATTTCCCGAATTGTCCACCAGTACATATTTACCATTCTTATTAAATAAACTACTAGACTACCAGACTGAATAAAGCATCAGTTGGATATTCATCTAGGGTCACTGGTATGACTAATATATTTTTATTTCATGGTCTTTTATTTGTAATAAATACCATTTTCTTTTTTTATTCAAAGTATCTAGCATATGTGATGATCTAGCGCAGTGGTTCCCATTTCCCAACCTTTCTACCTTGGCGGACCGGTAAAATTAAATTAAATGTATTCGCGGACCGGCAAAAATTGAAATGACCGGAACAGAAAATAATAACATATATTTGCATAATATAATGTAATGTCGGGCACTCGTAGCATAGCATGCTTGTAGACAAAAGAGGCATACTTAAACCCATTTCACACGAAGAAAAACTATCAAATAAAGTGCCGGCAAAAAATTGAAATGGGTGAAACATAAAATGATACTATATATTTCCGTAATAAAAGGCAGTGCTGGGCACCAATTATGCGCAAGAAAGGCACGCATACAACATCTCACACAAAAACATGTACATGCCACATCATGTACAAACAAAATTAACTCCAGTAAGAATTTTGCTGCTGTTTCGTATCGCAAACGATCGATTGCAAACGAGGCCTCAAACAAGTTTTTGCAACACGTAGTTCTGCAGCGGCGTGCAGTCGATTTCTTTGCTTCGTTTTAATTAAAGCTAGCGATGAAAATGTATTTCGCATAACGCAGTAACTAGTTTAAATTACGAACAATAGTTTGATTGCTCGATTACTTAGCGATGGGTACTCGGTATCAAGAGATATCTAAAATTGCGACAGTGATTCTTTTTTAAATCTGTACTGTAAAGTAGAATCACAGTTTCAATTAAGCTTTTTCTTTTTCATCGGGTTCATCATATTAATCCCTCTGCAGTTGATCGACGCCTCGAACGAAATGAATTTACATTACAATGACAAAGTGGTTGGTAACTTGGCACCAGGCTCAAAACTCTACTGTGTCTGCTCAAAATACTGGAAAAGATATATGCGGACTATGCTTTCTTGCGCGACTGTGACCACTTGAAGGGTCGCAACAAGTTCATATCTTACTGGAAAATTATCTGTTTTTGCCTGTTTTTTTTTGGTTTAAACAAAGAAATACGCATAACGTTTCATATGAATGGTCATATTAATCAGGAAAAGCACGCAGAACAGAAAAGGCACGCGTGCCGATTTTTAAGTTTGTGAATCTTGCGAGATTCGCGATGAATCGGAGCCGAAAAAGCAAAAAGTGTGATTACTCGGCGCCAAGATGTCGCAATATGACGGCGGAAGAGAAATTGCGTAATAAAGCAACGCAACCTCTTCTTCAGTACAGAGATTGAGACGGCATAAAAACAACAAAATTTCTCGCGGACCGGTGGTTAGGAACCACTGATATATCGCGACCGACCCCCACTAATAGGCTACTACGTTGTAAAGAACATTGCTCCATTACCTCTTGAATGTTTGATAATTTATTTGGATATAGTTCATTACTGATTTTCACTAGTTCGTCTTTTTGAAATATATTACACCCTATTTCCGTTAAGCGCTATTTTTAGTCCGTCCGGTTTTTACTAGAAGTACACTCATACAAGGAGATAATATGTTTGAAAGCGTCGGAATATTCTCAGTTTGGCATTGTCTAACTAAATTATTACACTCGGAGTCAGGTGGACAATACTGTATAGTGTATATCAGGGGTCACCAACGCGTTGCCCGCGGGCACCAAGTCGCCCGTGAAGACCACATGAGTCGCCCGCAGGTCTGTTCCAAACTAAGCTTAATAACGGCGATTATGAGAAAGCTACATCAATTAAATTTTGTCCTGCTATTCTTGTATAAATCACACTTATATGGGAATCGGGAATGGCACTATATTAATTATTGTAGCCACCAACCCGATTTTTATTTGACCTCAGTAATGTTACGGGTCAATTAACACTCTTCCAATTATGACATCACTTACGACGAACCCGCGACTTTTCTTGTCCGTTGGTTAGTGGAGCAGCAGGCAGAAAAACGATGAAAAACCTACCATTTTCACGGTGAATGGGGGTGGATATATTTTTACCACCATGAAAACAACCTGCGCGTGTCTCATTTGTGGGGCAATTGTAGCGACGGCAAAGCGAAAAGATATTTCACGGCTTGTCACGCAATCTACCGCGCTAACTACACTGGTCAGCGCAGTACGGGCAGAAAAAGCTCGCGTTTTAAATCATACAGCAATTCTATTTTACGAGACCATTGTTTCCTATCTTTGTGAATCAACATTTTTGACATAAACTCAGGATAGGATGGGATTTACATATTTATCCCGGGGGAGAAGATAGCCGATAAGGCGGCTTAACCATATGGCGAACCAAGGCCTCTTGTCCGGTTATCATTTCATATCGGATATGGGATTAGTTAGTTATTTGTTTTCGTAAGCATATACTTGACGGCGAAGGAACAGCCATCCCGACGGCGGCAAGGGTCCAGCAATCCTCTCGCACATAACTATCCTCGCATGGGATTCTAATCTACGAACCTGACACTTAGCACACTAACGATGGCCACACAGCCGCGACTTTTCAGAAGTGTACATTGAATTGGTAGCCCGCGGCTTAATCTGTACCCAGAAAGTAGCCCTCGGCCTCGAAAAGGTTGGTGACCCCTGGTGTATATACTTATCTTTATAAAATTCTCAATCCTCGTTCCATATATACACGGCTATTATAATAGTTAATATATATACGTATATATATCGTAGGGCCAAATTGTTGTTTTTGTTCTTTAACATATCTTACTCGCCAACTAAACCAATAGCTTTCGAGTTTAAGATGCAAGTGTATGTAGAACTTCGAATACTTTTTAGTGTTTCCACTTATCTTCCTGGTCTCTCAGGTCGGTTTTGATGATCTTAACAAACTGCGCCACTTTTCGCTAGCTATACAGCATAGCAAGTCTCAACGAACGACGTGTGACATTGCCATCTCCACATATTTATCTGTCGTTTTCTTGTTCTATTTATCACTTTACAATATTCGAAGTACCAGCGATATACAGTTTGGGATATTATTTATCTCCAACACTTCAGAAGATCTATAGTAAATTATATACTGCGGACAATTAATTCACTCTCACCATTCTGCCAATTTACACAACACTTTTATAATTCACTTGATTACTTGAACCGCATCATTTCAAATTATATTACTTTAGAGTTACATCATAATAGTGTTGTTTGAAAATATAAGTAAAATGAATTGACGTTTTAATATTTCGCAAAAGTCGCTAACTCTGCTGCAGGTAACTTCTTGGTATATGTAATTGTCATTTTAGGAACATTTGTCTAGATCTAGATTCTAGTATAAATTAAAATATGACGTGGTAACATCTTTAAATACCACATAGGATATATATTTGCGACTGATTGGTTTAAATGAAATCCCTTTGCAGTCAGACTTTGAATTAGATCCACAGTAATTTAATTAGGTAAATTCATAAACAATGCCCAGGAATCCTTTCTGAAATATTGTAACCGCACACCAATGAGTGCGAAAAACAACATTGTTTACAACACAATGGACTGGGCAAGAAACGAACGTAAAAGTTTGCCCTTTACGACTCGCTATCACGCCTACAAATGTTTGTTGAATGCCGTTTAACATGTAAACGCAAAACTCTTATTGTACTAAAGTGTTTTGAGATCACTGAAATGACATAAGTATGGCCTTGTTAACTGGTAAATTATACTCAAAGAACACGTTAGGTCGTTCGCTTTTCAAAGATCTTGCTGAAAACGCAACTATTTTGCCGACCGATAATCGTAGCAAGAAGGAGACCAGCAACAAGTGAGATATTTACTATATTATGCAAGTCCGTATAAAGCGTGCCATCGGGTATTAAGTTAAAGTGATTAGGACTTGGGACCCAGCACTTGTCAAGCTAAGCAAGGTTTTATTTTATTTCACTACCTTTTTATACTTAAGCTTTATTACTTGCGTTTACGGAAAATATTCGATTAAGCAACGTTCAGTTGCAACTACATTTTGAGCCAAAGTTCGGCCCGCCTATGTACGTTAGATGTCTATATCCCTTAAGGTTAGATAGAGAAAATTGTAAACCAGTCAAATAAAGTGCCTATTAGTAAAGATATAGCCTCATGTCAGTAAACTAACTATTCATATTCGCTTCCATTTCAGGCCCGAAGTAGAAAGCGAGACTTCAAAGAAAGACTCCGAACCCACCGAAAACGAAAAAATAGTAAACACGGAGAACGCAAACACGGAGGATAATTCAGAAAATACTGATTCGGCGGAGGTCAAGGTAATATGGAAGCAAACTGCCGGAAAAACAAAACGACCTCCGAAAGATTTTTTCACCCCACAAGAAGAAAGTGGTGATGCGGAAGCCGACCACGAAAAAGTACGTCACAATTATAATTAGAAATTATTAAATAAATATTTTAATCCGTTTCTTATTATCTCAGGTAAGAGGAGAAATAACAATAATCGATTCGCGCAAATACACATTCATTAGAATGATATGATGTTCAAATAAATGGCTTATAACTATTACAAAATAATCAGTGCTCCCGAAGCGTGTGAACCAAGGTGGCGGACACCGGAACGTAATATGTGTACCAGGTTAGGGTTAGGCCATAATTTCAGGTACAAATACTACGGAATATCCTGGCTAGTCTCCGAACTCGTAATAGAACTAAAATTGGGATAAAATTATGGCCTAACCCTAACCTGATACACATACTGCTTTCCAGTGCCCGCCATCTTGGTTCACATACTTCGGGAATACCAAAAAATCCATAGTTAAAGGCATAAACTTGAAAAATAGGGTTCAACTTCTGTATACATATAGCAGGACATTTTATTTACTTCGTTTATCTTGAATTCATCACTATTATTAATCATTCTGTTTTTGTTTTGTCTCCAGGAGCTCAATCTTGAATCTGAGAAAAAATCTAAAAAAAGAACTCCTGTAACCACCCAACCGTTGACTCTAAATATAAACTTAAAAACCGCAAAACCACCCCATACCGCGAGAGCACAAATATCTAATCTTCAAGCTGTTAGAGCGGCCACAGGTGTACGATACCCTCAAAAATCTTTGGGCCAACCCAAAGAACAAAAATTAAAAACCGAGAGTAAGCAAGATAACAAAGATGAACAAGAGTGTCCCGAAAATGAAAAACTTGAAGTGGAAAAAGTTAAAGAAAGTGAATCTAAAGAAGAAAGACTCGATCAAACCGTAGAAGAAGTAGCTGAAAATAGAGATCTTCAATCGGCCGGTAAGTTAGTTCATCGATAGAAAAATATAGAGATGTATTGTTGTGTACCATGACGTAGCTTTTAACCCACAAACTGGACCAAGATAAGTAGGTATGGTTATGTTCGCTTCAGTCAGTAGCAAGTCTTATATTAGAAATAAACAAAATATGAATCCATTTAAGCATGGCTTCATTTCATAACTTAAGTGTTGCGATCTGATTATATATTTCACCAAACATGATCAAATTTATCATATTGCGAACAAATGAGTTAGGTCTGTTGAAAATATATTTTTATTTTGAATGCCTGACTCGCCCTCACGCACGACACGGAACGTTTAAGCTCAAATCCCCTGCTGAAAAATGGTAATTATCGAGTTATCTATATATAATTTATATTAATTATATAATTTGAGTTGAATCGACATCAAAAAAGAGCGTTGATACCTTTATATTTGTTTGCTGTTTAACTATACTGTAAAAAAATAGGTCCTCGATAAACAAAACGCATGCATTGATTTAGAAATTCAAAATTATGACGATCAACCAACATCAGATCCCGATGAACCAACGATGCCAACTCTTGAACCAATTATGGAGGAACCGATTGAAGAAAATTCTGACGATAGCTCAAGTGAATACAAGAGTGTAAAAAGTGAATCGCAGTCAAAGAAACCGGTTGTTATTAAAGTGGTTCCTCCATCAAAATACGCAGAAAGTGAGTTTTTATCACCTTTTTTATCATTCTTATTACTCCTATAGTCTTCGGAAACAAAATCTGACAAGTTTGATAGTTGACAAGTTTGAAGTTCGAAGTTGGATCATGAGTTAGTTGTACTGACCGCAGCTGCAAATCGGGCAAGGTTCATTTTTGATCTTAACATTTTCAATCATTCCATTTATCAAATCCATTTATCAAATTATCCATTTATCAAATTATCAAATCGTCATTTTTATACGCTGCTATTCTTACTTCACACTTGCTTTTGTCTTTTTTATTTAAAAATACATTAGCATTCTGTTACTATATGTAATCAGGTTAATTTTTGTTCCGTCACAGAGTTAAGAGCTCTTTTAGCCGTCGAAGGTCAACCACCAGAAGCTCTTGAAGTTCTGCAGCCGGATGCTATTGCGAATCTCAAGCGCGAACTTGCGCGGAAGGGGATTATAGAGAGCTATTCTGACGAATTAGATGTTGAAGAACGAGTAGCCACCGAAGAAGACATGTTTCAAAATTTGGGAAAAGAAGTTTCAGAATCATCGTCAGAGGTTCTGGCAACTGCAGAAAGCGGCGTTGTTGAAGGAGACCTAGACTTGGTGACGTATATAATATATTATATATGTGTATATGTGCATTGATTATGATATGATTTATACTTTATAATAATCCCATGTCTATACAAGTTCGCTCATGCTCATGGAAATAAGTGGAAAAAGTAAGCGATCACCGAGACGCAAGTTTGCCCTATTGACAAGTGGAGGGCTGTACCAATTTGGAACGGTATTCGAGTGTTTTGGGTGAAAGGGACTGATAATAACGCGTTTGAACATCTTTTTGAATCTTCAAAGTTAAAGCCTTCATCGCACATGAATTTGTAAATGTTGTGATTCGAAGACAGTTGGTGCTATCCACTAGCTGGGATCAAACTTATGGGTTACCGTATTCATCATGTAATATATATGCTTTAATATTTTCTCCATTATTCCATCTTCATTTTACATTGTTTTCTACTCAGGACGAGTTAAAAGATGATAAGAGAGACGGGTATAAGACAAACAAGTCTTTTGAAATTCGAAGGCTACAGGCGAAGGCTGAACGCGAGCGAGAAGAAAAACGTAGAATATTTCCAAAACCCCGAGTGAGTTTATGTGTGATAATTAATTATAATCAACGACAAACCATTATTTTATTCATTTTCTAATTTGTACTTCCAGTTTCTAAAAGGGTCAAAGGTTTCCAACGCACCATCGTCGAATAACACAGAGGAATTTAATGAAATGCGAAGTCATGGACGCGACCATAGAAAAAACTGGGTCAGAAGGAAACCTAAAAGCATTTTAAAAATGCAATCATCGGATACTGCAAATAACGAAAAGGTAAATAATGATCATTGCGATTTTTAGTACAAAACTGCGTCATTGAATAACGAGGTCTTGAAAAAGTGGACTGTACAGTCAGTTCCCTATTACCGGCAAGGTCTGAATATTTTGTTATATTGTGCTCGTTTAGCTGAATAGCAAATAAAAACTATTCGAATGATTGAATAGGCCACGGTTATTTCAATGCTCTCCTAACTTTGTATACCCTGACACTTTCTATTCATCGCGATCAATTTTTATTTCACAGAATCAGTCTGACAAAAAGAAAGAAAAACGTAAAAGCGCTACCGTACGCATAAGAGAACCTGAATACGATTATAAGCTGTTTTCGGGCGACGAATCTAACGATTCAAGCGATACTGTGTGAGTAAAACAGAACTTAAATTTGACAATCAGACCAGCCAAGCACTAACGTTATACCACATTAAACCGTCGCTAGACATTTTGCCATAACAAAATTTATAACCCAAGCTGAAAATCTACTGATCTAACTCCTTTCAGGCCGAGTCAGTCATCATCAGTACTTGGGTATAGACCGAATAGCGCGACATCATTATCAACAAACAGCACCTCATCGTTTATGGATGATGACGATGTCAGTTTCGATTCGTCTTATTTTGAACATGCACAGCACGAATGGGAAGGTAAGAGTTTCAAGTAGAGAAATTGAAATATATACATCGGTCAAGTGTGGAATATACTAGTTGGTTTGAATGAGATAAGCTCCTACTGCGAGTGGCGTAATTAGGGTAAGACAGCCATGGTCCGTTTGAATATGGGCACAAAAAAGGCGAAATTTTCGATACCGTACATGTAAACAACAAACGTTTGTCAGTTTTCAGCAACAATTGTCGGTCAAAGATCAAGGGTCGCATTTTTGAACTTTGATATTGGCGCCATTTTACGTAAATACGCCACTGCATACTAAATTATTGCTGCTAAATTATTGAGTCTTTTCATTTCTAATTTGCATTTTGTTTCTCTTACGAAGATGATGAGAATGCATTCTACCGAACATCAGCATTGGGAATGACTGTTCATGACATTTACGATGACATTGATAGACTCAATCCTTCTCGATTAACAAACGCAAGATTACCTGAGTGAGTTTTATATGAATTATTAATTTAATATGTAAATTTGTCACGTGAATCAGGATATATAAGAGTTCAACGAATGCTTCCCAGTCCAGGATGGGAGATTCTTTACCTTTGAACTTTTTAAATCTTCACAAAAGCGAGCATGCCAATGATAACCTGTGAAACTACAAAGTCCGCTACAGTATGCTCCGCTGAGGCCAACCTATGGTGGCTCGATCTTAAAGGTGGGTTATCACGGAAACATTTTTGTGGCAAAGTTGATTCTATATAATTTTTTGAAATTTTTGGCGTTTACCACTTGCATAAAGTGGACTTCTTTTGCGAAACTCGAAATTTTTTAAAAGACAACCCTGCAAAATCAAACGCAAATTACAAAGTGACTATATCACTTTGGCAAATTAATATGTCCCGTTGATGACGTAGTACTGAGAACTGGTCGGCGTAATTTTACATTAAGTCAAAGGCAATTATAGCGTTCTGTGAACAGAACATATTTTGAACTGTATGCTAGTTCTTTTGGGCGGTGCAAACTGCGGTCGATTTTCGTTGAAGCGTTTTTTTTTTAAATCCTAATTAGAAAACTAAGTCGACTTTATGTAAATGGTAAGCGTCAGAAAATCCTGAAAAATATATATAGAATCAAATTCATCAAAAAAAAATAAAATTGTGATGACCCACCTTTAAGATATACACTTCTAAAGATTTAAATTAGGTGCACATACTTTGAAATCTGAGCGTTAAACGCGTTTTTATATTATAATTTGGGACTGTTGAATGACTTTTTATGGCCACAAGGGCATTGAAATTGAGACTCTCTCTTAACATAGCGAAGTAAATGTATTCTCATATTTTGCACCAAAGGTCGCCGGAACAACAACAGGATAATTTAAAGAAAAACCGCGTAACTTCAGCTGAAGCATCGTTGATGGATAGATCAAGTTTGCATGCTCTGAGAAACACCAGGTACATATCCATGTAAATAGGTAAACAACAAAATTCACAGCAGGCACAGTTTATGCTGCGAAAATTGGTATTGGTGCAAATAAATACCATTAGAATTTAAGCAACAAAATGAGTGATCTATTTCCATTTCAGTCGTAACCAACGTCGCGGGAGACCAACAGCTAGCAGATCCTCAGCCAGATATCCGTCCGCCATTCGCCATTACGAAGATAAGCCGTTGCATATGTTTGACGCCATGAGGTGAGCTCGACATACTTTGAAAATTGTCTTTATCAATAAGTTTGATTTCATTTTCACTACTAAACAGAGTCTATCAACTCTTCCGGGATAAATAGCTTAGCTTAGAAAATTCATTGTTACTTTAATTAGGATTTGAAAGTATATTCTTCACTATATATTGTGATTTTTTCTTTGTGGATGCTGAATTAGGTATGAAAACGACCGAAGACATCTTCAGCACCATAAATCGAACAGAAACATATCCCGAGAATCTGCCCATTTTGTTAATCGAAATCAAGACAGAATGCTTTCCAGGTAGTTCTTTCAAGTAATTTGTGCTAACCCTAATAAATTCGGCGCTCCAGAAGTATGTGTACCAATATGGTGGTAACTAATTTTGTTCGCCTACTTTGCACCAAGTTGTGTAAAGGGACGGAGAGAATGGGCAGGGGGTATATTCACTTGGCTAACAGAAACAGTCCCCGAACTCGTAATAGAACTAAAATATTAAAAATGTGGCCTAACCCTAACCTGGTACACATACTACGGGAGTACCATGAATTAGTAGCAGAAATATTGTTCGAAACATTCAAATTATGTATTTCAGAGAATCTAGGATCTCTCCTCAGAGTAAAGGAGTTAGTTTTACCGATGGTGCAATTGCGTTCGGTCCTCATATGGCACCGATATCCAAGGACATACCCAGCGACGTGACAGAGACAGAATGGGTTGATAGGGTGCAAAAGGTAATCACGTGTCAAAAATTCTTGGTCCAGACGATTTACTTTACAAATGAAACGTTCTTACAAATGGTAATATCAAAAAACATGTGTGTTACTACATTATTATTGATATAAATATATTTTACAAATTTGCTGGGCCCGGACCAGTGTTCCCTCTAAGGTTTGCGCGTGTGCGCGCGCACACAGCTTTCAGAGGCCGCGCACACGCATATATTTACTGCACACAGACATATTACGATGTAATGTAAAAATGTGCTCGGTTGGCAGATTGAGAAAGTTTGTTGTTGGCCCACCTATCACCCGGTTAGAACGCCGAAATTTCTTCATTGGTTTTTGCACAAATATTAGTCATTTCCAAAAAAGTGCGCACACAACAAAATTTCTGCGCACATATACTACAAAAAATTAGAGGGAACATTGGCCCGGACAAACTATGACCAGGTCGTTTTTGTTATGGCAACATAGTAAACATATCTAATTACATATTTTATATTATACCTTCTTGAAATTATTTTTAGTTTATGGCAACTGCGTACGCCGGCAAAAAGAAACAAGACGAACAAAGAAAACACCTTCGAAAGACTAATTTCGCTCAACGTTTTTTAAGTAAAATTAAAGGTAAGAAGAAGAAGAAGAAATTGATAGAAAAGCCGCCCGATGAGGACGAAATCATCATGCCAGCAATTTGCTACTGCGAATGGTAAATACAGTACAAGATAATAAAAATGATGGTTGTTTATATTAGTAAACAAGGTAATATACCGGCCTAAAATATTTCTTTATTTTGAAGTACCGGTAATAAACATTTTTTTTTGTTTATACACAGCTGCCCTTCCTGCTGCTTTGTTTGCTTGCCTGATTCACTTTGTAGTATGATGATAATATTGTTTGTACCAACCATCATCCTTATGACATGTGTATTACTAGCAATATTTTGGGCTACAGGTAAGTGAGATAGTTTTTAACGACCAAACTAGGTATTGTTTAATTACGCTGAGACCAAGGTTACTTTCTTATTAAGATGTGTATATTGTGCTCTTTTGTATGTATGTCTAATTTATTGCCATTGAATGCATGATGTTGTTTCAAGGTATCTTTCCGTTGTGATGTCATGGATCTCGTCGCTAATGAGGAGAGGAAGATAGTACAGTATACGGACTTTCTCATTTTGTCAATCAACTCCTCTAAATGGAATCAAATCGATATAATTGGAAATGTCCAGATTTGGAACAATGGGAGGCTGGCGAAGAATATATAAATGTTTTTATTTTATTTAAAATGAATATAATATTATTAATAAACCATTTATAATAAGTCTTATCGGCCACTGTTCCAAGCAAAGTAAATGTAAAGTGAGAGCTACGACTGAGATAAAAGTGAGACCAACGTGTTGTCGAAATCGAGAGGTCAAACTCTATGTAAGTAAAAATGACACTTGTAGCCAATGTCAATGGTGGCCTACAAGTCATAATGATAACTGACGCCTGTGAAGTGTTTGTGTAAGTTCCGGTCAGGGATGTTATATGTAGGCTGTATTGCCTACTTGATGTTAGACACCGTGGAAGAAGCAAATAATACCACAAGGGTTAAAATCGTACGGTAGCTTTTCATGATAATTGGACCACATCAACGCTTATTTCAGCAATATTTAAAAAACATATTATGTTAATAAGTCACACGATTATACGGCAGTACTTAATTATTGCCATATGAAGTGGAATGTTACAATTGGCGGCTCTTTACAGCGATCGTTAATCCCTTAGCGCGGCGATTCCGTTCGCTCAAGTGCAAAAACTATGTGGCATCTCGAATTTGGGCGCAAAGATGATTGTGTATCGTTTCGTATGGATGCAATTGTTGATAGTTTGATCGTAGTAGTATATATTTACGGTTTGATGATATAAAAAGCTGTTCAATAACGAACGTTGAGTTGGAAACGCGTGTTCCCCTTGACAGAGTTTATCTGAAAATATTGTACGTTTGCGATGCATTTTAATATCTAAGAAGGCGCTGGTCAAATTCATAACTACGCAGAATATATTAATTGAAGTAAGCCTACGGTATATTAGCGGAAAGATGTTTTACAATTACAATTATCATTTATGAAAAATCTTGCAGCAGTAGGCTATATGGGAACATGGGTGAAATATTGGCTTCTATTCATTTAATATGTTAAAGAACGCAAGTTTGTAAGCTTACATTTCTACAAAACTGAATATTTATCTCACATTTAATTGATATAGATAGAGCGTAGTGGTATATATTTACGGATAGAGTGAGCAGTCACAGTAGCAGCAGTTTCTCTATTTCGTGGGAGCAGGCGGTAAGTAAGCAACGTTTAAATGTGACGTCACAGAATATTTAGCCAACATTCCTGCGCGGTGTCTCCTTCTGTCTGTTATTGTTGCCGGCGGCACGGTGCAGGGAGCAGGGTTCTCTTTGGCGGTCTGTTCTGTTTTCGTTTTCGAAATTTACATTTGATTCACGTTCAGGATAGTTAAATTCTAAATGATGCAAACAAGAATAAAGCAAATCTCCATTGAAATAGCAAAAGTGAATGCAAAATTTTAAAAACTTCGGAACTTAGCCCTCCCTGTTTTGCCGTTCAAATTGTTTTAAAGTAACATAATGCAGTATCCCAGCCCAAAAAATAGTATGGTAACATAATTGAAAGTTAGTTAACGCCATGTTATGTCATTAAAATATTACATGAAGATTAAAAATGAAGCTCGAGGAGATAGGGTTTGTTGAAATTGACCATGCTGCTTTGCCAGCATGCTATATTCAGATATTAGTTTGCTAGTGCTGTATGTAATGGAATGGCCAAGAGACAATTTACTAATGCTGGGATTCCTAATTGCTATTGACTAGGGATGCCACAATAGGGACTGTAAAGCAAGCCAACTGAGTTGTCACTCAGAAGGTCGCAATATATTTGATCTTCATAATTAATCGTATGATTCACATCATTTCTGTTAGAGAAATTTATGAATTGCAAGCATTAAATTATTACCGTTTAATCATTCGAAACTGGAAATCATTAGATCCGAAATTATGTTAAAGGCATGCTTCTGAACTTGAAAAGATAAACAGGTACCTTCCTGTTTGGCCCACCACCAATTACTTGATCTGTTTTGTTTGATTCTGGTTATATTACTGTGTTAAGTTAGGATGGATTATAAGGTGGGCAATAAACCTAATCCAATTTATTCTAACATAACCTGATATACACAGAATCAACCAATTGTAGAGCCAATCACCAGACTGTGACTGCATTTAACATTTCCCTCATCTAGATTCAAGCTAGCGTGGTGTTGCAGCAGTTTCGAAAAAATAAATAAAAGATTGGTATTTCTGAGTAGAGAATTCAAAATCACCTTTAGTACATTAGTAAATGCAAATCATTGTATTGTAGCACTGTCTAAAAGTTGATTACATATAACAGCCATTACCTAACCTAGGTAATTGCAGCTATGAAAAGTAAACATAACCTAAAAATAAACAACCACTCTTGATTTCAATAAAAACAATGTGCATGTCCAAAAATTTCCTCTGTTTTATATATATGTTTGTAGAAAAATTAAGATGCTCTGAAATACACAAGAATATCTTGTATTTTTTATATTAACTAAACTTGATCCCCTGTTTAAAGAATTTTATAAATAAATGGTAATGTTTTATTTTTAGTAAAAATAGACTCCAAGTAGATTAACCAAACCCTGACAAGATGTCAAACAAGCCAAAGCCGAGCCTAAAGGGGGGCGTTGGAACACAGCGACTTCAGCCTATCAGAGCAACACAACCTTTTCAGGTAATTTTTTGCTAATTTCTTATGTTTTACGTCAGGAAACAAACTTACAAAATTATTTTTTTTGCAGCTCCGACAAGGAGCGAGTCCAGCGAGAAAATCACCATCGTCATCACCAACTTCTATGCTGCCAAGATCTGCAACTGATCCACGAAGAAATAAATGGTCTTCAGATCACAGAAACTCACCAGACAGGAGCGACAGGAAAAGCCCAAGCTCTCCTGGGATAAAAGGTATTTTTTTATATTTTTTTTGAATCTTTCATGATTTGTTGGATTTTTCCCATCATTATCAAAATGAGGAAGGAACAATTTCAAGTTGATAAATAGGATTTATAACATTTTCAATTGTGTTGCATATTGTGTTATATTGGAAATTGATATGTTTTATCTTACATAATTCTAAGACATTTTGGTATAGCTCTTCTGAGATGTCAATGCCAATGGACTTCTGATTATGGGGATCAGTTTAACCTAGTGTTAATACATTATTTTCAAATTTCTTGTACTTATCCTGTGGGAGATAATTATGTGCATATAGGAATTCTAGAATTCGTTCTCGATGTTTACGTAACCATCGTTCGGTTATGGCTTTTCCACCAACATCTGAACATCTATACATCTGAAACAAATAACTGGTTAATTATTCCCATACTTCACATGAACTAGTAATTGGACAAGAGGCTGTGTATCTGCTTTTCTCCCCCCCCCCCCCCCCCATGGAATAAATAGGAAAATCCCATCCTAATATTTGAGGTCGGCATTATCGACTGTTTTTTAAACTCCTTCTTCGTTAAGGAATTGAAATGTTATTGGTTAGAATAATATCATCAAAAACAGATAATGTCAAAGTTGTTATTTTACGCTTGATTGATTCTTGGGGTAATAAGGTGATGTCAACCATCAAATTGTTTCAAGTAAGCGATACTTCTTCCATTTTAAAAAATTTATCCATTTGTTCCTGAAAATCGAATGGTTTGGGTGACGAGTCAAATATATATACAAATACAAATGCTAACGATAGTTATTATACAGCCGACATCAGATTTCCCTGAAGTCATGTCATGTTGTCTTTTGTGTACATCCTCACTTTGCATAACAGTAAGTTGAGTTTAACAATATGTGAGTCATAAACTCCTTCAACCATCAATGCAACTGCTGAGCACATAAATATTTGACCATATGTAGTTGTAAGCTCACAACAAGCAATGAAAAAAATCTGGTGAGAGTGCCATATTTAGGTAATTTCGCAATATATCTCCATGAGAAGATATTTTTTTGCCTGGAGCTTGTTTAATAGGCTTCTCTCTTCCTCAGTTAAAATAAATCTGGGAAGATGGCCTTATTCATGCTATTTTTTAATAGATGACTCTGTGGGGATAATTTTCTGCCTGTGCGCTCTGTAGCTTGTAACATAGACTTCTCTTATTCTGTGCTAGTTCTTGCCTTGTTTTGCCTGGTTTGACTATGGACTATTCTTAGTCAATTGATAATAGAATATGTCCAGAATTTTTTTTTTCAAATTGATTTGAATTCAAATGTTCCAAAGTTTTTTTTAAATTTTCATTGCTTTCATCAATCTTGTAATGGAACAATATAAAATATTTGTCATTTTGAGCTGTAGACAACTATTAGTCTGGCAAAAAATGGTCTTCATTTAATTTCTAATTTCTTTGAAAATAAATGTTTCTCTCATTAATTCTTCTTCACAATCAATGTCAAAAAATGTATATTTATATTTATTCATGCAATTTTCTTAGAAATATATACAAAGTTCAATTCGAGAAAAAATTTTTTTTCTGATATTTTCTGGAAATTAGGATATTTCTTTTGAATATGCTGGATGTCATTTATAATTAATTAATGCATAACTTACACATGCTCAGTGGTTCATTACAGAATCTGCAATCTATGTCAAATGAAATCCATTTGAAATCATTTAATTCGTCTTTTTTAAAAACCTTGATTCAAACTTTTGTAATTTGTGATTTCAGTATTGCATTTGCAGTCTATCAACCCCTTTTAATATTTGTTCTATGCTTCTGTAAAATCAATCATTCTGTTTTAAAAATTGTTATGGAGTGACACTCCTTCATTGGTTTTCAATATTGAGTTGAACAATTGGCAAATTTCAATAACTAGTTTACTTTTTTTGTAGCTCACATGTTCGAAGTTTTTTTTATTGGAAATTCTGAATTATTGTTATAGATTTTGGCCGTGTATCATAAAAAGTATATAACATCCGATATGTGAAAAATGTAAATTCAGGATTTGTGTAACTATAATAATGAATTGGTTTTGTGGCAGCTAATAATGATGTAAGCTTTTTAGGAGAATTGGTATGTATAATTAAAATTAGTCTAATTTAAAATACATATCATATTCAAGGTTCCTAATTATCTTTTCATAATGCATTCGGACCAGCAAACTGTTTCCTTTTAGTCATCGTTGCAACCTGTTATTGATTATAAACCTTTATTTGAAATAGTTAACTCAATTATTCTTTCATTTTGTAGAGGGTTTGTTTAATAACTGTGTAAAAGTCAACATTGGAGCCACAGCAACAAGCTTTTTCCAATCAATATTAATTCAACGTTCATGAACGGTCATGTTTCAAATGTCCATTATACTGAGTCTCTTGATCGGCGTTGTGTAGTGCTAGAGGATTATTGTTCCTTTGTGTGAAACCAATCAGAGAGCTTTTGTGTCGTGAATTTTCGTTCGTTTATTTTTATTTTCAACTTTTACAGCCAGTTCTCATAGGGAAAAGGGACAATGGCTTCGTCGGCATTCCAATTGAGTGGATTTCCTTTACATGTGTAATAGTAGCACATACTTGTTTACTGTTTTTTCATATGTGTCTTGTCTATTAACATTCAAAAACATGGAATTATGTATAATATGTAACTGGGGATGCCTATGGGCCATATGAGTAATATGCTTTACAACTGATTCGAAGTTGGTATATGTAATATGATAAATTCCCAATTTTAGGAACAATTTGGAATATTTTATCTGTAAATTTGTTGCATTAGGCATTTGACATCTCATGGTCAGACACAAATAGACTCCAGTCAACTTCTGACAATATAAAAAATAGATGGTAAAAAGTTGCATCCCCCAACCATTGTATTTGTATGTATAAACAAAACTTGAATTGGAGACACAATATACCGTAGGTTCTTCATTACTATATTCAATTTCTTTGATACTTTATTGAACATGATTCAATAGCCTATAAATGCATTCAATATTTCAAATTCAAAAATATTATTTCGTTATTCGGAATGTAAATTATTTGATTTAGTCTACCCTTGTATGTAATGTAACCTATCACATTGAAACCTGTTGTTCACCATAATATCAGAATCTCAATCATGGATGTAATCGTGAAAAAGGATAATATGTATGATTGAGGCAAATTGCTAATCAAACATGAATGCACTCACAAATACCAGTTAGACTTGTTAAGAAGGAATTAAATATTGGGAGTTTGCATTTAGTTGTTGTATAATTACTTGTTTCCAGAGATACTTTGCAATACTTGCATTTAAAAATTTGTCACTCTCAACTATTGAAATTAGAAGGCATACATTTGGTATATGGAAAAACTTACATCCATCCTTTTATAAATGAAAAGTTTAATAACTCTGTACTCCTTGAAAAAGGTTTCAATCAGGGATTACCAATGCCTAATACTCCGCTATTGCAAATACATTCTAAATTATTTTTTTGAATATATATAGAAATTGAATATGTAGGCTACTAAATTACGGTCATGTTCAACAAATATATAGAAATCAATGTATATTCAAAGACTTTAAATTGGGAAAGTAAAACAGTTAAAATAAATATTGGTTTGGTTGGTTTTCAATTAAATGTTTTCAGAAATGAAATGAAGAAGTAAATTAAATTATAAAATAATTTATGATTATACTGTGAGACTGTTTTTCTCAAACTGATAATTTTTAAAAAAATTTCAATTTATTCTATGTTCTTCCTAAAATGAAGATTTTTTCAGATTATTTGATTTATTTTAGTTATTTAGTTCCAATACACTTGATTTTTTAAACTGCCATTCTTATCGATGTTTGAGATACAGATGTATCAAATTATATATTATACACAGTTCAGTCTTGCAGGAAGAAAATTGCATCATAAAGAGTAATTGCTAACATATGGCTATGCTGTACCTACTTCGTATTGGATGTAGATGAAACAATGAACATGCAATGTATATTCTTGTATTTCAATATCATTTTACTTGACAGTATTTATGGTACTTAATAGTGTGTGATACTATTACTCCATTTTATGCCCATGTTGGCATAAAACCTATTTTGTCTTATTGATTCGGGGTGTCATTATCTATCTTGTGCTTCAAATATATTCAAAGGAGAAAATTGTAACCCTCTGAGATCGTAATCAAGGATAAATGACGGACAAGTATGGGGGGTTGATAAATTTATCGTTAGGGCTTGGTTTAATAACATATCATGCACGGTTACTATTATTTACCTTGGTAAACTTTTGTTGTTTTAAACAGGCACAACTCTATTGTGATAACTGTCATTTATTATCATCTCAGTAAAAGTTATGGTTTGCCCATTTTTCACTTTATGATCTGGAAAGTAAATAATGGTCAAGCCTTTCATATTGTGATTGGAAGTTCTTTTGTATTCACTGGACTTTATCATATTGGCAAAGTAAACCTGTTTCTTTGCAGATGTCCGATAACATACAAAGAAATTCTCACTTAATGTTAAACTGCTAAACACATTTAGAAAGGAATATGCCTGCCATATATTTCCATAATAATTAACACACAGTCTTTCTGAGATATTCTAAAATTTAAAATATTTTTTTAAAGTTGCCAATTTTGAAACCCTTTTTTGCTTGAAGCGTAGCAATATTATTAATCTTCAATACATTACAATATATTCTAATTAGACATAAAAAATGATAAAATTAGATATAATTCATGATTTAATTATTACTCAAATGTGAAAATTCACTGGTATTTCTCAATTCAAATTATCTGCGTTATCATACACTAAGGTTTAAAATTTAAATGAAGTGTTATTTGTTGTCTGTGGAATATTATCTATGCACATAAACTTGAAACAACCAAAAATGAACAGGTTGGTAATATATACCAAGAAATATTTACTGTAAATATGGTTATTTGATTTTTAATGTTGAAAATTTAATATTATTATATGCAGAGTCATGCG